AAGGAATGATACGTCGGAGCCCTTGCAGCATGAGCAGTTGTGCTGGTTATGCCGCGGTGAAGGAGACTTGCTGCTCTGCGATGGTATGCCTGCATCTGCTCTAAACTCCAAAGACGATACGTCCGGCTCGTCTTCTGCACCAGCTGCATCGAGGTCGTGTCGGCATGTTTTCCACATTGGTTGTGCTTTTCCTCCACCAACGCCTGCGGAGCTCCAGCCGAACGCTCATTGGAGCTGCCCATTGTGCAAGGCAAAGGCTTTCAGCCAACGCATGAATAAGCAGCAAAATAAGGAGGATAGGCGGGAACAACTTGAGGAAGACGTGCATGGAGAGCGTTGGCTTTCAAATCTCCCGGGGCAAGAGCACCAGCTGGAGAAGGACAGAAAAGCACAGCAACAAGGCAGTACTGTGGGTGCCGGGGCTAGTACAGGACTTGGGGGTACGGGAAGCCTCAGCGATGATTTGCTGCATCACGTATTTGGGTCTTTGAATATCCTAGCGGAGCAAGGAACAGAAAAACGCACAAAATTCCTGTCTCAGCGGCAGCTAGCAGCCTGTGAGGAGTTGCAGATGGCCGCGTTGAAGCGGCTCTTTGTTGACAAGGCCCGAAGCCTTCTTGCTCGTACGCGGCAGCTGTGCAAGCGGTTAGATGAACTGCAGTCTAAGAGAATAAGGTCGTGGGTTACAGCGAGGCGCAGAAAGTTTCGCACTCGCTCGAAAACTGAACGCGGCGACCACTCGGTTCAGCAGCCGCTCGATTCTTCAGAAACCCAAGGTGTGAAGGCGCAGGTCCCTTCAAAACAAACGCAGTCGCCGGAGCTTGCGAGGCGTGCGAGCCGTTCTTGCACACCCTGTAAAGACAAAGCTTCTTCCGAGAAAGCAGCCGACGCCAACACTAGCACCGTGGCAGCCGACGCTTTAAAGCGACGCAGGAACCACGTGGCAACAGGTGGTGCGTCAGGCATAGAAAGAAAAGGGGAAAATCTTCAAGTGTCCCTTGAGGTTGATGAACAAGAAGAATGTTCGACGGTCCGCCGCACACGCAGTTCCACGCTGGCTGGGAAGTTGGAAAGTCGGACTGCAGCGGCATTCGCTGCTGCCACTGCTGTTGCTGACTGTTCAGGAGGGATTGGCCGGATGGATTCGGACGGCACGTCAACATTTACTGCGGGTTTGGACCATACGCAAGGCGAAAGGACTGAATTCGGGGACAGGGATGTATCAGCTGGGTCACACTACGAGGCCTCATCAGATGATGAGGCAGAACGCACACTGGATCCGTTTGCTGCTGCTGCACAAAATTCCAGATTCGCCAGAGCTCTGAGCCTATTTTCACAGATCCACTCAAGAGAGGACTCTTCATTGCCTAGAAGCACATCTGTCCTGCAGCATCTACACCACACTGCCCAAGGCTGCCACTGTAACCGCCAGGAACGAACTTCTGGCCGGGGAATCGAAACTCATGAAGCATCCAGCAGCAACACAAGCACGGAGAATGCATGCACTTGTGGCTCAGAGGCCTCATCAAAAGTGAAGAACTGTTTATGCGTGCAAGCGGCTCGCAAAGACGCCACGGCAGCACTGCGGAGCTTACTAGTATTTGAGAAACGCGTGGTCCCGCCGAGGCATCCTGTCCGCAGTTTGGCACCGCATGTGTGCTCACACGAGGCAGACATTGAGGCACTCGCTCAAGGCGAACCCTTCTGGCTGAATCGGCTTTTCAGGCCCTGGAGGAGGCGGCGAATTTCGCAGCCTCGCAGAATACCTAAAGATGCTAGTGGCTTGAATGCTAGAAGTGATGCACTGTTCCGCCAGCAACGTGCTTTGCTGCATGCTGCGCGACTTCAAATGCAGCAGTCCAACAGGCAGCCAAGTATGGACCAGCAGCAACGAACTGTTGCGAGCCTTTCGCAGCGTCCCACTGAGCCTCCCCACCTTCAAGCGGCGAGGAGTTCCGCCACTGTGCTGCCAAGTGGAACAGGTTTACTGAGGCGCTCTGCAATGCAGCTCCAACCGCCAATTTCGGTGCAGCAGCCTGCGTCTTTAGTTAGCTCTTCCGCTCTCCAAAGAGAGCGGAGAGAAGTGAGTAGTGAAACACTCCGCTCGCTTTGGCATTTAGTCCAAACTTCAAAGGAGCAGGAGCATCAGCCGCAGTACGGGCATCAACAACCTCAAGCCGAAACGGAGAGAATTTCCCCGGCCCAAGAGACGCGCCTGCAGCAGCAGTTGCGGTACGTGCTGCAGCAGCAGCTGCAACAGCAGGAACTATCCGCTGCATTGCTTCAGGCGGCACAGAGGAGATGGCCGACACCTGCACTGCACAATGCTGACTGCAGCCCTAGAGTGCTGCAGCAGCTTGCTCATTTGCGTACAATCCGTCCGAAGACTTCAGCAACTCCTCAAGGTACCACAAATCGACGAGTCGAGCATCAACTGGAGCGCCAGCTGCAGGAGCTTCTGCGCCAACAACGTCTTCAAGACACTCTCAGGAGCCTGCAACACCAAGCTCAGCGGCTGTCAATGGCGCAGTCGCCAATAAGTACCACTCCGCAGCAGGGACAAGCGGGAAGGCAGGTTGAGTCGGCACGGACGACACAGCAGGACGTGTTGGAGGAGCAACGCTTGAGGCAAACGATGCTCCGCTTGCAACAGCTCCAGAGACAGCTGCTTCTCCTGCAGCAGCAACATCGAAGTGACTGACGTATTTGGTGGTGGCCAGACTTGACTGAATGCGGTTCCGTGAGCATGGCACTCAAAATAAGAAATGCCCATGTCTTTTGTTGTTGCGCTCGCGCTGTATTCCCGATAAGGTGCCGAGACTGTTTTGGGGATTTGGAAGCAGAAGCGGCGAGGCAGAAGTGATTTCGTTTCGTCCGTTTCTGTAGAAGTTTCGAATTGCCTAGTCGTGGCGGCGCAGGCCTACCCAGTGTTGTAACTTGTGTAAGAGTTTTTGTGTGGCAGTGGTGCAATATCTTCTTGGCGTAGAAGCTTGGGACGAAAGTCTTCCGGTGAGGCAGCGGTAACAGGCTCCCCTTCACCGAAGCTTCCCTTGTAATCTTGGGAGGTTGTTTGCATCATCCGCTGTGTTGGGTTACGGAAGTAGTCAGAAGCCGGCCGCTTACTTTTTTTAGACGCGTTCGCTTCATATTATATGTTTCTACCGCGGCCCGCCATTATTTTGTATCTTGAGTTCACCCGTTTTGGAGGAAGCAGGCCGTTGGGCCTGTCGGCAGTTTTGCCGCGTGTTGCACGGTTCCCGTCACCCTGCAGCACGAACCGCTTTACTTGTTAAATGCGGACACATGACTTAAGTGCTACCTTTTGCTCTGCTGTAAAGCTACACATCGCGGTGGACTAGCCTCCTCGGAAATGCAGCGAGCAGTGCTTTCAAAACAACCTGCAGTAGTAACAACAACGAGCGGATTCACCGCTTCTCTCGAGCGCACCGTTGCTTAAGGAACTCAACTGAAACGTCCAGGCATCGTCTGAACTGGGACAGTGCATGGCCTATTGCGCTTATTTGCCAACAGCACAAGGATATAGGATGAAAGGCCTCTGCTGCAGTCTCCTCTTCTACTCAAAAGTTAACTGTGCGTTTATCCTCTGTGACGCGTAGAAGTTCTATCGTATACAGGTTTCCCGCAGTATCAGTATGACTCCTCCTCAGTTCGGCCAGCATGCAATCTGGTGTTACAGCCATTCCAAAAGCGCAGTGAAACCGCTATTATTACTTGGCAAGGGGTCTCGTTCTCGCTTTTGTAGCGTCCACTCCTCGTGCAAGAAGTGGAATGGCGAGGGAAGTTCGTACGAGAGGCAATTAAGGGAAACAATGCAGTGAGTAACTGCATCAAACTACGTCCCCGTTGAGCACATTCTAAATTGTGCTTAACTACAAAACAGCGTATCTCCTTGCTGACCCGTAAATTGGAGTCGCGAACTTGTTAGTAGCGGACCCATGAGTTCGTTTGTTCTCTATTCGTACTTCTGTTATGTGATACTGCTTCTTTCTTGGTGTTAGGCACAGCAGCGAGATTCAACAAGCTGCTGCTGCTGCACAACATGCAACTTTCGCCCAGTTGGCATGTGCGGCAGAACATGAAAAGGCATTCTATGCGGATCTACTCTACCCCAACACCGGCAGAGCCAAGTTTAACTACACGCATATAAACTCAAAAACGAAGTTCCCTCTGTACATTTTGCTGGCCGCTCCTCCGCTAGATATGTTTGCTAAGGCAGCTACAAGATATGGCAAGTTGCCGGCATCATGGGCACAGAATGGCTAGCCTGCTGCCTCTTACGTGGTCACAGTAACTGAATAGGCATAAGAATCGTGTATATGGCCGACCACTCTGCTGACTCAACTGAGTATTTCTCTTCTACTTCGAGGGGGGCTTCAAGGCTACTGGGCTGCCCGAGCGCATGCATTCCAATGTTTCAAAGAGCTTCTGCTACTTGTGACTGGCCCAAAATGGAAACGAGGGAGACAGCATTTTATATTTAGGGCCTTGCTTTGTCGGAATATTGCTTGCAGAAGTTTCTGTGGCTCGCAACGTCTGCCGTCACCTGCTCGAACACCCTTTGGTCGTACCCAACGTATCGGGGGCCATAATAGACCACTTCCGTGTGCGGGAGGTCGAGGCAAGTTTCTTAAGTCGCCTTGCCAGGCACTAAACGCAAAGGGGTTGATTTTTTGAGGAAACGCTCCCTGCTGGATAGACAAGCCAGCATCTGGCAGGTGAAACAGTAGGGAGCAGTTGACGAGGCAGAAGTTGTTCATAAATACGTCTCACTACCACAGTCCTTTCACGGCAGAGGATTCGCTCCATCAGCTGGTGGCAAATGGAGCGCTGTTTAGCGGAGCTCGACGTGCGCACATCGAGTTCCCTCTGAGGTTTTGCTCCACCCCCTCGCCAGCCATTCCATGTTCGATTTTCTGCATGAAATATTTTTTGGCTAGTCCGTAGCTGGGAGGACCATTGTTTTTACATCGACTGTAGAAATGTCTCGGTCACTCCTCCCTGGGGCTCGGAAGTTCGTCCCCACAGGAGCTAATGACACTCCGCTTCCGAACTACGTTCCCGGCCTTGGCCGTGGAGCCACTGCCTTTACCACGAGAGCAGAGACTGCTCCTGCCCCTGTGGCATCCAGTGCGAAACTCAGAGAAATACGAGACGCAGCATCCCGTGCAGAGAGCCAAAAACGAGCTGCTGAGTGAGTATTGCCAATGCTTTGGCACTTCGTCAGGCTACCCCCATCATTCGTTTAAGGATTGGCTTTGGCTGGCTTGGCTTGTCGCATATATGTGGAGAGTTTGCCCATAGTAATAGCACACATGACAGTGCTGCGGCCACTGATGCCTCTGAGTCGATGCGCCTGTCTCTTGGCTTTGCTCAGACTTTTTGGAAAGCCGCCTCCAGGCTACATTCCCGGCAGAGGCCGTGGCGCAACAGGCTTTGCTGGAGGTGTGAGTCGTGATGACTCTATTGATTACACTCAAGGAGCCGCAGACAAGAGCGACTTGAGCGACGCGAACTTCGACCCCTTCACAGGATATGCAGAGAATCTCTTCAATGATGGAGAGTAAGACATGACTCACTGTGGGTTCGTTTGCGTACATTTCCATTGAATAGTGGTTCAGTTGCTTGTTTTGCACGCGTTTACTTCTGGCTTCGTGCCATCGCTATTGGCACGCACCGGCAGCGCTTCAGTGTTATCGCAATCCGAAGCTCTCCGGCATTTTCGTGCAGGTACGATGAGGAGGACAGAGTGGCCGATGAAGTTTATGAGTCTATAGATCATCGGATGGATGGAAGACGCAGGTCGCGTAGGGAGGCCCGACTGAAGGAGGAAATTGCCAAGATGCGCGCGGAGAAGCCAACAATTCATCAGCAGTTCGCTGACCTCAAAAAGGGATTGGCTACTGTCACGCAGGGTGAATCCAGTGTCACAGCATTGGGCTAATCGCGAACGAGACAAGAGAATGCCTTCTGCACTGTTGCATTGGTGCATCTTTGTCGGAATAGCTTTTTCAAAGCACAACAGCAAGACTACGTGTGAACTGAGCGTTGCGTTTGCTCTGCAGAGGAGTGGGAGTCCATCCCAGATATTGGGGACTACACACTAAAAAGAAAGCAAAAGAAGCAACAAATACTAACTCCTGCCTCTGACAGAGGGATTCTCGAGGCTCGCAATCGCGAGTCTTTCTCTAATTCGATTGCGTCGGCAGGAACTGCCACTCCTATCGGTTTTGGGATGGCAACACCCCTCATGGGAGGTGGCCTGTCGACGCCCCTTGGGCTACAAACTCCACTGGGAATTCAAACACCACTCGGTCTGCGGACTCCCATGGGGAGCAGCACACCATCTCTAAACGACCTAGGGGAGGCCCGTGGAACAGTACTCTCAGTCAAACTTGATAAAGTCATGGACAGTATTTCAGGCCAAACTGTCATCGACCCGAAAGGATACCTTACAGACCTTAACTCTATGCAGGTGCGTCCTGCCCACGCCTGAGGATACTAGTTGGAACACTACTGGGACATTCTGAGATAGTATGAGTTCCTTCTGCAACGAGAACAGGCGTGTTGCCTGGAAAGTTGACGTTATCGGGCATCGAAAAGCCCTGTCATAGCCCATTGTCGTCAATCTGCGGTTTTTGTACGCAGCTTCAAAGCGATGCGGATATTGCAGATATCAAAAAGGCAAGAACTTTGCTGAAGTCGGTGACATCTACCAACCCCAATCATGCCCCGGGCTGGATTGCGGCTGCGCGTTTGGAAGAGCTGGCAGGTACGGTTTGGCGTGCTGTTGCTGCTGCACTGACGCTGTTCAGTCTTTTTCCTATACTGTCTATGAAGTGTATGACTGTTTATCTTCTTGTATACTCGGAGAAGTTTTGCTGTGCGCTGTGTTTGTGGTCCAGGAAAGCTGCAGTCAGCACGCGAACTGATATCTCTTGGGTGCCAGCGGTGCCCAAAAAGCGAAGACGTTTGGTTGGAGGCCGCCAGGCTCGAGAAGCCCCGCAACGCTAAGGCAGTCCTTGCGAAAGCAGTATCTGTGCTTCCCCATTCGGTAAGCCCCGACGCAATTGGCTTCCTGAGTGCATTGATTGCTAGTCAAGAGGCCGGCAATTAGTAAAGGTCATACGCCACTACTCTTGCATGCTTCCCGCACCTGCATATGTATTGCCTGCTGATGCCCGTTATTTTTCCTTAATTCAGCGGCTTGTGAGTTACATTACCCGGGTGTACTATTGTTAATCTAGCATATGGCTGCTGTGTGACTGCTGCTGCGCAGGTACGCTTGTGGCTGGATGCATACAACAGGGAAAAAGACATAACTGACAAACGCCTGGTTCTGCGAAAGGCTCTGGAATTTATTCCAAATTCTGCCCGACTGTGGAAAGAAGCGTGTAGCTTAGAAGACGAACGGAACGCTCGGATTCTCCTGACCCGAGCTGTTGAATGCGTCCCGCAGTCCCACGAAATGTGGTTGGCTCTCGCCAGGCTTAGCACTTATGAGGAGGCTCAAAAGGTTTTAAATGAAGCGCGCAAAAAGTGCCCAACCTCGCCTGAGATATGGGTAGCTGCATGCAAGCTGGAGGAAACTCAAGGAAACGAAAAGATGGTGCAGGTTATTATTGGGAGAGCTGTTGACAACTTAATAGGCCGTGGCGTTGCCCAGACAAGAGATGTCTGGCTAAAGCTCGCAGAAGAAGCTGAGGCTTCTGGATTCCTGAAGACAGCTCAAGCCATTATACGGGCAACCATGAAAGTTGGGGTCGAGAACATCAACGCAAAGCGTGTGTGGAGCGAGGACGCAGAGGAATGCTTGAGCAGAGGCTCCATAACTGTGGCACGGGCTTTGTATACTCACGCCCTTGAGCGTCTTAGGACGAAGAAGAGTCTATGGCTAGCTCTTGCGGACCTTGAGACAAAGCACGGTACCCGGGAAGCTCTAGAAAAAGTCCTTCAAAAAGCAGTTACATGCTGCCCGAAGGCAGATGTCTTGTGGCTGATGGCGGCAAAGCAACAGTGGCTAAAGGGGGATATCAATGCTGCGCGGCGCATCTTGGCGGAAGCATTTTCTCACAATGAAAATAGCGAGGCAATATCCCTTGCAGCTGTCAAGCTTGAAAGGGAGAACAATGAGTTTGAGCGTGCTAGGAAGCTCCTTAAACGCACCCGACAGAACATTAACACTGCCAACGTCTGGATGCAGTCCATACAGCTAGAGCGGCAACTTGGTGACTACGACGCTGCAATCGCCTTGGCAGATGAGGCTGTCAAACAGCACCAGACCTTTGCTAAGTTATGGATGGTTCGAGGTCAACTGCATGAAGAACACCCAACGCAAAGGGACTTGGCTAGAGCTATTGATGTGTTCCGGGAAGGCACTGTGTGTTGCCCACGCAGCGTACCACTATGGTTGTGCTGGGTCAATTGTGAGAGAAGCCAAAAGAACTGGAACAGAGCGCGTGCCGTGCTGGAAAAGGCCAAGCTCCGCGTCCCAAACAGTCCTGAGCTTTGGCTGGCGCTCGTACAAATCGAGATCGAGTCGGGTAACCGAGAAGTTGCACAGCACGTAGCAGCAAAGGCCATTCAGGCATGCCCTAACGCGGGTATTATTTGGGCGGAGGCGATATTCCTCGAAGAAGAAAATGCGCAAGTAATTCATACACAATTACTTGCGCACTTTACATTTGCATATATCATTGTTGGTTGCTACTATGCACAGTTTTCTGTTGGCTTACAGAGGTTGTTAGTGGGGTTGTTTTGGTCATCTTGGATTGGAATGCGTAAAGTTATAGGGCTCTCGCCTGAGCTGAAGTTTATCTGGGAGGTTTTTCCGTACTTGGGATTGGTTCTATCGTGGCAGTCGCATTTGCAGAAATTTGCCTTTTTTGTTTCCTTGTGCACGCCTAACGCAGACGCATAGGGCAGTCGATGCTCTAACAAAGTGCGAGAACGACGTCAACGTAATTCATGCTGTTGCGCGTCTGTTTTGGAGGGATAAGAAAATTGCGAAAGCTCGGAAGTGGATGAATCGCAGCGTCACCCTTGACCCCTCACTAGGTGACGCATGGGCCTCATATTTGGCATTTGAGCTCGAAAATGGCGGTGAAAAAGAATGTATCGATATTATCAACCGTTGTGCTCTTGCACAACCAAATAGAGGTGAGTCACAAGTGGTGGCGCTGCGCTATGGAACTTGACCAATCAACGGTCGCACGACCAGGGGGCATAGACGTGTACTTAACCGTGTGCCTACACGACATTTAACCAGCCCCACGACAAATTCAGTCCTGGGAAATGTGTGTTCAAGGGTATGCACGCACTTTGACAGGATAGTACACAAGCAACTGAGTGACGTCAGTAACTTTGCGGTTATCCTTGCAGGCCTTGCGTGGAACAAGACTACGAAACAAGTCAGATGCTGGTCTTTATCGTTGCCGCAGGTAACATGGATATTTCGAAGCAGAGTCACCTCTAGGCGACAGCAGTTGCAGGCAGTGGAGGAATATGCTCCCTGAACTCGCGAGCCGCTAGCTTTTACTTGGATGCTGGCTAAGCAGATAGCAAAATCATTTGTTGATGTATCCTACTCTCAAGTTGTGGCATGTATGTTTTCAGAAACTCTGTGCAGTTCTGGAGTACATGTATCCAGACGCGTTGAAGAAAGAGGGAATTTCAAAAGGTATGCGTTTGGGGGAGATGAGTGCGGAGCAACGTTTCGCCTCCAGTGCCAAAAAAGGCCTAGGACCTTCGTGACGTCTCCTCCCACGTGTCCCTGCAGTGCTTCTAGCTTAAGCAGACCTAAACAGTAGCATTCCTGTGACTTGCTGAATTTATTACGTTGCAGTGGTACTAGATGCACTGCACGGGAAGTTACAAGATGACCAGCAAAGTGTGGGACCTACGGATCCTGCTACTTCGGTGGTACCCCGTCCAGTGTCCAGCTCTAAGCCAACCAGTGGGCGAAGTGGACAGAGCGACAAGAGCGACAACGCTACTAAAGACCAGCCAGCACACAGCACCTCCCAAGCCCACGGTTCCTCCGAAGCACACGGACGGGGCAAGGTGTGTTCCGTTTCGTCATAGGCAAATCACAATATTTTCGACGAATTACAGGTTGCTTCGGCATGCCGCCCTCGCCCATCAAGCCACGTTGCGTGGCTGCCTCCATGTGTTACTGTTTCCATACGGTGAATACATGGAACTCGCTTGTGGTTTGGTTGTGTGCAGCCAGAGGTAGATCCACCCCCTGCAAAGCGGCCGCGCAGCTCCGCTGCGGAAGAGTCCGGTGGGTCCACGCGCCAGTAAAGGTCCCATGTTAACAGTCTTCTTTCGAGGAGAGGGCGAGAAAACGGACGACCTCGTGCTACCGTTTTGTGAACATGATTTGGAGCGCGTGCGTAAGAATGCACAATGGCGAAAGGACCAGAAGAGGCGGACTAGAATACATGGAACAGAAGAAGAAACATGCGATACTTCTTTGAATCCTGTAGCCCCGCGATGCAAACAGCCTTTGACCTTAAACGAGCGATATGCACGAACAGCAACAGTAGCGCTCCTTACTACGGTCGAATTTGGATTTGAATCCTTGTCGTTTTTCGGCAAGCGTGTGGTCCGCGTGGGCAAGCGTGTACCGGCCCACCGTCGTCGGCCTTGCACTGGGAGGTAGATTTGTTGCTGCATTGCTGCTTGCAGGTACCAGCTAGAATGTAGTACTACAATCGCACCCTAGGTACTATATAGTTCCCCGACTGTACAAAAGGCTGCAGTGGCAGGCCGCTTCCGCTCTCTTTATAGTTCTGTCGCAGTCTTCCACCGCAACAATAATCCAACTGTAGGCGCTCGCCAGGAAGGCAGCCTTAGTTGCATTGTTCGCCTATGATACAAACTTGCACATAGAGCAGACGCCCGTCCAGCTTTCCTCGTAAAGACTCCACATTTTGTGGAATAAAGTCCGTGGAGACATATGAGGTCAACGTGGCCACCATCGAGTTCCTTCGCACATGCTGGCTCCTAAGGTCTGCAAGGTGATCCCTTCCCAGCAAAATTCGTCGCTGCGAAGTTATCAGGTAACAGAAGGACACACCCGACTTCACCCGAAGGAAAGGGAATCGTGTGTCTCGTTTCAGCTGCGTGCGCACGAGTGCTTGGGCATCGCCTGTCATGGGATAGAGGAACAGATGGGTCAAGGCTTGAAGGACAGTATCCCTCGAGGGCACCACATATTCCCTTTGGCCATACTTGGAACGAGCGACCTCAATCCTCATGATGAAAGCAGCAGCTCTGCGGGGCCACAAGAAACCCTTCTCATCGAATGGTTGGGACCAAACGCTGTCCTAGCTAAGCAGGAAACAGCTGTCTACTCTTAGCTGCGTCTATGCAAGTGTCATAACCTTACCTCAAAAAGGAAGACAACGGCAGCTGTAGAGGTGGTAATGACGTTATTCCCACAAACACAGCCGTGTTGTGTCTCTCGAAAAGCTTGAAGTACCCAAGGTCTGACTCCCCTTCCGGCAAAAGCGTGTCATAGCTCTTGGCTAGGGCCTCCGAAAGAAGTCTTGTACTAGTGTTGCGCTCAATCGCGGCTACGTAGGCAAGTTCACTCTTCACGCGGGACCTCAACTCGCGCAATTCGAAGGGGCCTGTCCCATCGTAGGACAGGAAGGAGACAATTGCGTTGCCTAGCTGGCTGAGCCAGCTCAAGTTTGTCTCATTGCCCTTGTACTCGGTCACTGCAGAAGGCAGCACACTCTCACAATCATTTAAGTTCAGAAGGCATGAAGCTTCCAGCTCCTGGGTTGAAACGATGCGTCATCCAGCAACAACGGTGTGAGGCCGGTCAAGTGCAGAGAAGCATTCCCCTCTAAATTAAAACCAAGAGTGTTGACTACAACCAGTGAGCACGCGCAAAGCGCCAAGCGCCAGCTGGCCTCAAAAAAACGGAAACCAGTAGCAATTTGCTGTGGTCTGAGCACCTGTGACACAAATTGGGAGGGTATAAGCTCACACGGTGTTTGGCCAACGTAGGCGACAAGAACCTTTTGATTACTGTTGCTAATGCTGAAGTCTGATGCCCGAAGGTGCGCAAGACGTCGCGTGAAGTGAAACCCAAAGTGTTTCGCCGTAGTTACTTCAGCCCGTTCCGTCGAAGCAAAAACCGTGACAGGGGAGGCCACCATTCCAGCAACATTCGTTGATGCGACAACAATACGAGTAAGCAGCTGGCTCACTGAAATTACTGAGTACTGAGTTAGCCCAGGTTCCTTAAAAAGAGGCTCCACCGCAGCCTGAATTGTCCTCACTGACGGCTGCAGTTGCAGTCTGCCCGAACCGCCTGGGTACTTCGTGTCGAGCTCGTCCACGTGAACAAATGCAGGGTAGCTGGGCAGAAGACAAAATACTGAAAAGAACAGAGCCCTTCGCCACTGCTGACAAGCCAGTGAGAATGCAGAGGAGAATCTGAACCTTCTGTGCATGTGCAAGTGATTATAACGTACATGGCCCATGAAGAGTTTATTGAAGAAACAGCTTGAATTACTTTGTTGATCCATCCAGCCGCGGTGACAACTCCCGGATTTGTCGGATCCCTCGCCTTGCTGACATCAATAACAGCAACTCCCTTAGAATTAAGCTGCTCTGCACAGTCCTCCATAATTGACTGGAAATACAACTCTTCCATTCTCGAGTTCTTCACAAAACGCGTAAACTCCGATTCCTTGACTGACATACTAGCCCCTGCAGCGCTGGCATAACTATCCATCTGGATACGCATTTCCTCCATTGCCCTTTCGGACATTCGAATGGAATGAGCCGTTAGCTCCTGGTCCCAGTGATGCACGCGCTCGACCACCTTCTCATAAGCGTCGCAAAGCTGCGTACGAATTAATCCGCATGCAAACATACTGCTACATTCAGGTGGCCGCACAAATGGAAGTGCCTAGTAACTACGACATTACTCCGGGAGAACCCTCTCGGCAAGGTAATGCGCATCACTTGAAACGAACGTCAATTTGATAATTGAGATTTCTCTAGTGCTCCATCTACGTTCCACTTTCTTTTCTTTGCTGCGCTAATAGCCCTTCTGTTTCTATCTCACTTAGCATAAAGCATTCGCAGTAGTTGGGCCTCTTCTCACCTGCTTGTACTTCTTTTGCATTATTTCCACTCGATGAGTACTGAGTGCCATTTCGGCTTCGTATTCACGAGCCACAAGTACTCGCTCCTTTGGCGTAGACTTGAGGCGACTGGCGAAGGACCCGAACTCTTCAAGGGCAATGACAGACACCATGCGTACTGCGTCACTTATCCGCATCCGCAGCTTCCCCAGCCGCTCCCTTGTTGCCCCTGCGCTCAAAAATACAAACCAGTGGCCGTGCTCTCTTTAAGAGAAGGCATCGTCCAGAGTAACCTGTGAACACTGGATGCACGGGTGGCGTAGCTGACAAAAAAGCGTCCCTTGAAAACACAGTTTGTTCACCGTAAATTGTCACAATGCAGCCATACACTAGAAACACTCAGCCATGCAGATTCGTTGTTTTTACACAAAAGTTTGACGACAGGACTCGTCCTCAGCAAAATCAGTGTTCTGCAAGGGGCCTTCTAATTCAGCATGAGCCTTCTCACATGTATTTTGGACAGCGGAAGAGCTGATGAGCTCCAGCAGTTCCCGATACTGCCATCTGAACATAGCAATTTTTCGTTTAAGTCCGTTGATCACGCGTTCGATGGCATCTGCCTGTTGCTTCCCCAGCTCGAACGAGTTCACCGGTATCTGCGCCAGCTCCTTCATAAGGTCGTGGTTTCTCTCCACATTCGTCCACATATCGTCTTCCGCGCGTTCGAGGCGTTCCACTAAATCGCCTGTTGCACCACAACGCATCATAGTACATTCAGCAGAACAAGCTCATTAATTTCACCTGTTAGCTGCTGAAAAAAAGTGCTACCGTTCGTCTATTATTATGAGAATTGAGTCAACTGCGCATGCATCGGGCATTCAGCCCAAAAGCAAACAGCCAAAGCGTCAGACATTCCTACTCATCTTCCAACTCGAGTTAACACACTGGAGCAGCTACTGATAAATGACAGCTGATAATACGTAGCTCTATGCCGCAGCCAATAAGCGCTGCTCTACAACGAGTCCTGCTGATCAGCGATCTTCTAATAAATGATCTGCACAGTTTGGGTAATCCGAGCGGTTAATATGTCTCACCGAACTTCAAGGCGTTGGACTCCCCGAAACTGCTTTGGTTATCCAACGAGTGACTTGATGGAAGCAGCGGCGTTATATCCGGTGCCTACTAACCATACACATGAAAACATCTTTTGTCTCATACTGAACGGTGTGATACTCCGCCCAGACTTACGTCCCAGAATCACTCATGGACCCTCAGCTTGCTGTACTTCCTTTCGGAACAAAAACAAGTGCTCATCAGTCATTATGCAGATTTACTCAGCCGCGCCGTAGCTTCCGCTCACCTCATCTTCAAAATCCGATGTCTCTATTTCCAATGAGTCCGAATCTTGGTCTGATGCATCGCACCCGAAAACTAACGAGACGCACACGAGAAGAAATATTAACCTGGCTTCCCAAGCGCCAAGCTGACGCCATTTTTGCATAGCCATTTGCTGACGCTTTGGGTCAAGTACTTCACCTGCACGCCCCGGAGAGCCAGTCTGCCCCTCCATTCACTATTCACAAACCTGCGAGCTCATTACTCTGCTCAGTTGTCCACTGTGCTGGACTGCGATGGTGAAAGTGACAATTTCAAACAGATAAGCAGTCTCTGCCGTCAGAGTGGCTCAGACAGCATCACTTCTTGATCGGCCCTTCACTGAGAAGACTGCCCCGGCAAGTCAGAAACCATAGGGTAACTTGAAATCGTGAAAGCTAAAGTATGTTATCTTCATGATAAAGCGGCCCTTTCAAAGCTGAAACTCTGCACCTGCTCGCGCATGATTGCGATGTCAATCACGGCGGGTAGTCTCTCGTCTCAACCAGCATAAATCCCAAATCATCTGTTCCGCTGTTAAGGCACACTCTTCATAAGTACAAAATCTGAAATATGTTCTACAATTACGGTAGAACGTCTTTCACAACATTGGATCGTAGCAGCTCATCGATCTGGAACATGGATCCTTGAGCTGGGCATGACAGTATGCAACATAGCTCGGTGGAGAGTCCGTGAACGTAACAAAAAGGTGTAACGGCATATAGTAAGGCATAAGCATGGAAGAAACGATGGTTCGTCGCAGTACACTAGCAAGGCAGCAAGTGCTTGGGGCTGGATGACAATGAACGGTGGATTAGCTTAGGGGGAGAAGCATATTTCTGCGCTTCTTGTGAGCCAGCAGCAAGCCAAATGATATGTGAATTCGGGGGCTTTAAACGGGTTCATGTGATATCTGGAGGACGCTGAAGATTCATATGTACAGTAGATTGCCGTCTGGAATATGGCTACCGCCGATTGACAAGTCTGGATAGAAGGAAAATGAAGGAAAATCCCAGAAAGATGAAAAGCATTGAAAATTTCGAAGCTGCTTTTTAATTTCAGGAGTTATATTAGGCAGCGCATTGTTGGAGGGGGAGCTGACTTCGTCGGCACAAGGAAACTGTCAAACACTAGTTGGTGCTGCTAATACTGTACACTTCATTAGGAGGCAAACGGCATATATAAGCCAGAAGGCATAAATACCCCATGGTTTATGCAAGCCTAGAAAGGATGAGGGTCTCAGTGTGTCCTAGAGGGAGCTGTCAAACGCTAGTTGGTGCTGCAAATAGTATACGCTTCATTAGAAGGCAAACGGCATATATAAGACACGGGGCATAAATAGCCCATGGCTTATGCGCGCCTAGAAAGGATGAGAGTTGGACTACGTCCTACAGTTCGAAGGAGACTGACCCTTGTGGCCGGCGTCGAAATGTTTAATTTCCTTTATTCAGATATCAATTACGTGTAGAAAGCGGCTGGGATCACCAGTGTGAGGTGCAGACGATCGTGGTACTAAGATTATATTCACGGACCCGGCAAGGCCACGCCCACTATATTAATTAGGCCTGAAGCAAGGGAAATATTAGAAGGGCCCAATGAAGCTGCAAGGCTCCGGTGCCTAAATCTGTGGAGCCCGTAAGTGGAAAGAAAGAAGGGTTGGCAGTTTTATTATGGCGGAAATTCCAGAGAACTTTGTGGCCTTTTCCCCATAGTATAAATGTCGGAAAAGTTTGCTTGCATCAATACTTGAAGCACATTCGTGTAGGGAAAGTAAGGAAAATTCATCTTCCAGTTGACGAGTGGTGTCGGCCTCTCTTGAGACTCTTGTGTTTGTGAAGCGCTTCGGCATCTGGTGCTGAGTGGAAGTTTGAGGCAATAACAGGTCTGTGATGCCCTTAGATGTTCTGGGCTGCACGCGCCCAACACTGATGCATGGAACGAGTTCCAACCTTGGCCGACAGGTCTGGGTAGTCTTTTGAGCGTGCATTGTGATGGGGATAGACTATTGCAATTATTAAGCTTCAACGAGGACATCCCTTTAGAGCTCCCATAAAAGTCATTGTACATTACATGGCTGTTACATGGTTATCCAGATTCACGGTATATATACGCCTGCAAGAGGCCACCGGGGCGTTCAGCCCTATGTGCCGTACTTCGTTACACAAAGGACATTGTAGCGTGAGCGGCTGAAAATTATCGTTAAGTGATTCTCTCGCTGTTCAAGGCAGCAGACCTTCGGGTTCTTAACTTCAAGTTTCCTGAGCTGCGTTTCTGCCTCCTGTTTTCCTCAAATGCCCACATCAGCTGGAAACCCACTGTGTGGAGGCTGAAGCTGGCTTCCTTTTCTATGTCAGCTCCAGGCGCCAATTAACGATGAAGTGAAGCCGCTAGTAGTGGATTTTTTTGCATCTCTCTGCTAGCTTCCAGTGACTCAGGCCGCGTCAGGCCCGTCGTGTAGTGCTTAGCACTGCGGAGAAGTGAGAAGACGGCTTGGGCTCAAGGTATAAGCCAAACATAAGCCTGTGAGTACAACATAGATCATTCAAGAGGGATACACCGTCATGAGTACAACATAGATCATTCAAGAGGGATGCACCGTGTATGCTATGCTGCAAAGCTCGGGTTTGGATCTAGCGACGGAAGGGTAGAGAGCCGAGTCTCTGTTAATGCACGGAAGTCGATCTTTCCTAACACAGTCCAGCTTTGTCTGTTACTTCTGATGAAAGCGGTGTCTCATTTAGTAGGTTATCAAACTCGCTGCAGTATTGAGCTATATCGAACCCCTCCGGGCAACTCTTCTCGTTTTTTTCTACCTGCCTAAAGATCAAATACTGGTACTCGTGCGACTAGCGACTGGCTTCAATGGCATTCCATCTGTTCCCCCTCGCAGCCTGTGCATAAAGCGGCGTCGGTAGATCCTTATCTTCTCGCAAACACACATTTTGATACACGAGTTCTCTGACCGCGGCGCTGCAATGTACTTTTCACGCTTAGGCTCACCCTTAGTCTATACAAGTAGACCTCATCGGCGCTGTTGTTCCCAATAGACTACAATCCGCTACGCTTGGAAGACGAAGCCCTAAGATAATTAGCTAATTTCCAAAATACTTGCATTGGTACTCCGGGCTGCTCAGCTTGCAGAAATAGACCGCACTTCTACTGTGCCGTGCGCAGCCAACAACAATACTACTTACGAGTGCGAGCTCGCGAGCACCTCCAAGTCTGTGCTGATCAGAAAAACGTGAACTTCTGACATACAGCCTTGTCTTCTGCTAAAAGGCTACACACTGGGAGCGGGACTCGCGCCCAACAGGTCGTTAGCACTCATAGGAACCATACCTAAAGCAGCCAGTCCACCTCACTGAACTCGGTGTTAATGGCTCTGCCGAACCACTCGAAAACGTCAATTTCGAAAGAATAAAAATTTGACACAAGCGCTACCCTTGTTTTTTGTGCTATTGTCAAGGTTGTTTATCTTTCACTGGAGACGAACAAGGAATCTCAAAACAGAGGCTGCCGGTAGCCGCCGCCCCCATTCGCCACCCCACCCCACTTCCATGCTGCAAATAGGGGCTTGCAAAGTGGTTGAGGCAGAAATTCGCTGCTTGTTTTTGGGGATCTCCTTCGAAGGCCTTGTTCTACCATTCGACAATGGCAGGTTCGTCATGAAATGCGGAGCTTTAACGCATAAATGGCCACAGACGCAAGTGGCTGCGTAGCGTGTGGGGACGCTCGAGGCTTTGTTGCTGTGTATAGCTTTTGTGAATTTCGTTGGAGCTAGCTGAAATGAATATGAAATGTTTCACTTTCTGAAGTGGATGCATCTGCAATGAGGAAGATGTGGTGCCCTGTGGGGTTGTCAGCAGCAGCATGCTGGGATTGGTTTAGCGGAGGAACGGCGGCTCCTTACTCTTGGTTCTCTGGATGCATTTGCATAGCACGGATATTTTTGGAAGCATTACTGAATCCTATTTCATAATTCTGTATCCCCTTAGTCGCATGCTTCTGAGCTACTGCGTGCCAGTTTGATCTGCGCCGCACGCGAGTGGGGAATTTATTTATAGTAGAGGCGATCTACCGATCTCTTTGGCATTTTTGTTCAGATCGTGGCGGTTTCGGTCGAGGATTTGGGCGTGGTGGTCCCCGGGGACGTGGCAGAGGACGTGGCCGTGGCCGAGGCCGTGGCACTGCCGAAGATGACTTGAAAGACTGGGTCCCAATTACGAAGCTCGGTCGCCTTGTGCGTGCCGGGAAGATTACCTCTATTGAGGAAGTGTACCTTCATTCGCTTCCCGTAAAGGAGTTCCAAGTATGCTTTTGCACATCGTTCTGCTGTTCTTGCGGAATTACTGCTGCCATTACTTGTTGGAGCATGGATGTTGAGGCGTAGTCGAATAATTTCGTAGATTTCCGTGCACTTCACTCCCACGGAGCACAGCAGGACTACTACAGACTGGCGGGTCATTATGTGTGGTTGTGTGTAATGCGCTGATTGGCCCGAAGTCCTGTTACGGGCGATACATGCAAATACTTGTTTTCATGCCATGTGAACTTCTTGTGATGTAATTTCTTACGTGAGTTCGTCTGTAGGAAATGATGGCATGTGAGTAGCTCAAGACAACATATTGCGTCGCTCACTGTTGTTTCACGTCAGCGTATGATGACAAACGTATTCCCCTTCCGGAAGACTGACGGAAGATTTTGTCCAATTGCTGTCTGATTTGCGAGTGTCTGTGCGCTACTTGTCGGTGTTGGCCGACAACTAGCCTAACCCTGTTGTGGACGCCTGCGGCTACGAGCAAGTTGCTGCGTTGCTTTTGCGACGCTGCGTGAAGGGTGTCCGAAATTCTGGTATATCGGGGTTTGCTCCTGGAGAGCAAGTGCTTGTGGTTAGATTCGGGCAGACACTTTGCGTCATGCATCCGTCGTCCATCTCGGCATATGATGAAAATGGTATTCCCCTTCCGGAAGACTGACGGAAGATTTTGTCCAATAGCTGTCTGACTTGCAAATGTGTGGCGCGCTCTTATACAATGATGGGCGTCCGCCACATGTTACGAGAGCTGGCGACGGCATGCAGATGTGTTGCGTCTTCATGTTCTGAAGTAGAGGGTGTGCAACTTCCAGACTTCCACATGTACATTTTGTTGACTGAGCAGATCATCGACCATTTCTTCCTTCCTGAGGTCACCTCACGCCCATTGAAGGACGAAGTGATGAAGATCATGCCCGTCCAGAAACAGACGCGTGCTGGACAGAGGACTCGTTTCAAGGCTTTTGTGGCCATTGGTGATGGCAATGGGCATTGCGGTCTCGGCGTGAAGTGCGCCAAGGAAGTTGCAAGCGCTATCCGCGGTGCTATCATCGCTGCAAAGCTGAGCCTTATCCCTGTCAGGTATGGGAATCTGACTAGTGCATCTCGTCGAAATCCGCATGTTAGTCTACCAAAATAAAGGCAGTGCAGCTGGCTTGTGGGTGGTTCACACAGGCGCGGCTACTGGGGAAACAAGATCGGCGACCCTCACACAGTTCCCATGAAGGTCTCTGGAAAGTGCGGATCTGTCCGCGTCCGCCTCATTCCTGCCCCCCGCGGCACTCACATTGTCGGCGCCCCAACTACGAAGAGGATCCTGGCTTTTGCAGGAATAAAAGATTGCTTTTCTAACTCCAACGGTTCAACGAAGACTAGGGGCAACTTCATGAAAGTACGGAAAGCGAAGGTTGTTGTAGGGCACCAGAGCTGCCTTATCCATGGATGTGAAGCTCTTGCCGGTCGTAGTAGGTCCAACTAAAATGGCTGCTGTTTTTGTGTCTTGTGAGCACAGGCACTTTTCGATGCTTTGAAGCAAACTTATGGGTACCTGACTCCGGACCTGTGGAAGCCAAGACTTTACACGAAGTCACCGTTCCAGGAATGGTCTGACTTCCTTTCTGGAACGAAGGATGCTATCGTAGCCGCATGAGACTGCGGTGCGTTTTTCAACGTCTGGGATGAGGGTAGAGCACAGGAACGAACTCTTCGTTTCTTCCTAAATTTCACTCATTCTAAACTATTCTTATCGTAACGTTTTCCGGAACAACCCAGAATCTCGGTGTTTGACCAGGCGCAGTACGCAAGGCTGTCTCATCTACTGTTTGTAGGTTGGCCAGTTATCGCAGTACTTACGACTGGGGTCACAATTCACGCTACTTTTGAGTTACTGCTAGTGGCGGCCAACTAGTGTCAGTAGTCACAGTGTGAAGGTCTCGTTACGGACCATAATTCTAGTTCTGCCTAGGAGCAGTGCCGAAGTTGGATTCTGGGAGTTGCACAGAGCTGTTTTACGGCTGTTCAAGCGTTTCCGCCCGTTGGATTTCAGTTTGCATGTCAGTGTTCGTTTAGTGAACTAAAGAGCTGCTGTTTGTCTTGAACGGCCGGTCGGTGTGCCGGTCGGTGTACGGTTAGAACTTGACGGAAAGTGAGCAAGCTTCGCGCTGGTGCAGAGCAGTGTACATACACCTGAACGTCTTCAGAGGAGTTGGCGCGAGAGGTGATCAAGTGTATTTTTCTCGTGCGTCATGTTCCTAAGGCCTTATTTGTGCCTCATTTAATATCAGAAACGTCCTGTTGTTCGTTGCCACAAAGAAGTTCAGAAGATGGTAAAGGCAGCGAGCGTGCTACTCCTCCCCCTCGTGGCCGGCCATGTATCGGCCGTGTCAATGGAGCATGAACACACGGCGAAGCGGCTGCATCACCATTCTACTCGACTAGGAAGTAATCTTGACTACATAAGTGAAACGTAGATTCGTGGTGCCCATGAAATTGCGGACAGGATATGTTGGTGCTTTCCTCGAGCTTCTGAATCCAGTTCCTCAACTGTCGAGGGACCCAGAGAGGCTCCTGACGGAAGAGCAGCGCGCTTTCCTTGAGACTACAGCAGGTATGTGTAGTTTGTTTTATTCTAGTTGACCCGGATCTCGCCACTGACTTTCGCACAGATCCCCGCAACACTTACCTGGTGTGGCAAGGCGCAATGAAAGTCGCAAAGGAAGCTGGAACTCACGCAGACTATGTAAACCCCGAAGTACTCCTGCCGCGCGCACTCCATCAAATTGTAAGGCTGCAGTAGCTTCTCGAACAATGAAACAGAGCTTTAACTTTTGGCATTTTAGGAATCAGCCACAAGGGCAGGCAAGTTGAGAGACGCTTTGCACTTGATGCCGGACAAACAGTCAGTCGACAACAGAGCAGTCCGGCGACTTCCAGAGAGCTCGCGACCTTCGCCAAGAAGCTGCAGTTGACATGTCATTAGCTATGAAAACTATGGGGTAAACAGCTTCACGGCAAAATTCAAACCTGAGTGGCTTTCAACGAAATACCTTTGCAGAAATCTACTTGGCATTGAGAATCAAGATCGTTTTTGGAAGAAGTGCATTACTAACGTGAGGGCGACAATACGGCTTGATGCACAGGACGCCACTTTATTTTGAAATATTCTCAGGGAAAGTCAATGTGGGATGGCCGTGACGACAGTGTGAGCAAGCGCAGCCTGTCTTTGCTTGAGACTGTTGAATCCCTGTAAGTTCCTGCCGGCCTGCGTATGCTTGCATCCCAGTGGAAAATGCAATCTTCCCTCAGGTTCCACGGCTCTGGAGCCCGCCTGCTTCAAACTCGCAGCCAACGCGAACAAGTGAAGAGAAAACTAGACAAGATTTCCGCTGTCCACACAAAAATCGACGAGCTTCGTGGCCATGCGCCCGATACCGAGGAATTCCGCACTGCCCTTGGGAATGTGTCTCAGCTGCTTCAAGAGGCCGAACAGGTGTGTCATATTGCGAAGAGTCTTGAAATTTCGTAGCGTGAGCAACACTGTCTCAGGTCACGGCGTGAGCACTATCGTTAGCAACAGCTTCGGCAGTGCAAAGCGGCATCTACCCCAAAACTCGGTGTACATATTTGTGAACTTTTCCAAAGCCTCACTATCGAATGTGAAAGTACTTAGTAATTAACGTTCGTGAATCTGTAGCGTACAGTTAATACTGAACAAACAAACGCGTTGGTAGGCATAGCCGTCGTAATATGTAGTGTAAAATTGAACGATCCGGAACAGATGCTGGTCACCACGATGATCGCATCGTATATGCACCAAAGTTCTCATCACATGTTAACAGAGGCAACCAGGTCACCGCTGAAAAAAGCTCGTAATAACTAGTCGCTGCCATCGAAACGTGCGCGTCAAAAGTAGTTCATGGAACGTCTTCAGCAAGACCAATTCCACTCTCTCATCGAGCTCGGTACATGCTGCTATTCCCCTGAATAACAAGCAGATGATCCATCAAGCGGGGCGTTCTGTTCAAAAAACATTCAAAGGCATAACGTTGACCACGGGTTCTTCCTCATCGTCACTGATTTCCCCTGTGTCTTCGCTCTCATAACCACCTGAGAAAACAAATCAAACAATCCGTTAGGAGACGTGATACGTCTTCTCCTGGGGCTTGATCTTGATCGAAAGGCATTGTGCAGCGAGTTTGTGACCTACCTGGAGCGTCATAAATTAGGATAGAGCCATCAAATGCGCCAGAATATGCTTCGTTCCTGTCGTCGTTCCACGTCACGCAGACAATGTCATCTGTGTAGTCGGAAGTAATATGCTGCAGTGCTCCCGAAAAGATATCAGACGCACAAAGTACCCGACCTCTCCCGTGAATTAAAAAATCGCCACTTCTGGGTATGGCAGCCTGGATCCCCCAAATTGAGCAGCTTGCCTTCGTAGCTTGCATTTTAGGCTGCTTTCCTGGTCCTGGCGGCTGCTGGGGAGGAATCCCTGGAGACAAGCGGCTGCCCGCTGAAGCAGATACGCTGCAGTTTCCAAGTGGGATATCTACATTCATGTGTACAAAACAGTGACAGCCACTACCAGCATTCCACAACCGGATGCGTCCATCGCTTCCAGAAGAGACAAGGTATGATCCGTCCGGGCTTTGGAGGAGGCAAATCACTGCTCCGTCATGCGCGTTGGCTTCTGAGCATTGAATTGGGCAATGTGCGGGGGAGCGGTCTGCCCCTGTTGAACTGTCCCTTTGCACCCCCATGAATCCGCTCATATGCGCGCTCCCCATCTCCCGACCGTTCTCCAGTGTACACAGCAGCTGGCCCGATACTGGTGAAGCCTGTCCTCCACTCCCGGATGACTCAGTATGCGCTCCAAGTACGCCTTGCATGGAGGTTTCGGAGGACAGTGGTTCACTGTATGATACTGACACGCCCCTCGCACTCAACGTTTCGCTAGCATTTCTGAATGCGTGAAGAGATCCAGACGCTGACTTTCGCATTGCGGCATACGGATTGCAGGCTTCACCGTGCCCTCGGACACTGCAATGTTCCCTGATATTTTTTCCGTATTCATCCAGCAAATCTGTTGAAGACCCCGTGTACGCGGGCATATATACTGGGTCCCAGTTACGACAGCGCTTGTCCCCCGGATATAGTTGAAGGCTGGAAGGAGCTCGCGCTGCCAGGCAGTGAGATGCAGGAGGCTCCGTTAGATTATGTTGCCTTCTTGTTTTCCTCCTGTGCATGTCATCACTTGTCTCATGAGTGTGCTTGTTGGAGACATGACGATCATTCGCCGCGTCAGGTTGTGTCACGCCCCCCTTGTCATTTCGACTAGATGCAGCAGACTCGCTGGAACGGGCGCACTCAAACGCAGCTGATGGTGCTTTTGACTGTAGAACCTGCCTATTACCTTCCTCCTCACAACACAGAGTGCTAATGTTTCTTTCAAGGCCGCTCGTATGGCCGCCAAGCGACCGTCTTGTTCCACTCACTGACGAAGGATGCCGTTCGCGTGTTGTCTTCATACGTTTCGCTTTCTTTACTTCAAGTTTAAAGTCAGCCACCTCATTGGCAAAATGCGAAGTGCGTTTTGCCGTAAGAGCCTGAACTGGAGAATCGGAGTTCGTCGCCGTGTGCGCTGCTGTTCTGTCGCCAGAAAATGGTAAACTGGCCAACGCGAAATTTCTTAGTGAGAATGAAGGCTCTTGAGCAAATGTGGCACGTGCTGCTGCATCCATCACGTTTTCTAAGGTGACGCCCTTTCTATCGGATGCATTGACAGTGCGCCACAAGAACGGCTTAGGTACTTCAGCTTCGCGTAGCAAGGCTGGCTCGACGGAATAACCTCGTCCCAGGATTTCTTCAGCGTACAATAGCTGGCGGAAGGCTGACGACTGTGAACATCGATTGCCTGAAACGCAGCTCGCACATATTCATATTTGGAAGTTTCAATGGCCGTTTCTGCATGGCAGGTTGCTGCCATTTCGAATGTAAACTAGGTGATAATGCCGTGAGATATGGATGCAAACAATCCATCAAATGACTGTCGGGACCACGCTGGGTGTGTCGCTAAGATCATCCCTGGAAAAAAGATGACTGCGCGAAAGCTATATAGCGTTTTATTGCTGCAAGAGCACGCAGCAGAGCCGCCACTCTTCAAAATGGTTGTAGCTCACGCAAGAAGTCAAGGTCTGGTTTGTCCTTGTCAAACATCATCATGCATGCATCGTTCCGTCGAATATCCCATTTCCTGATTGATCTACACAATAATGAACAAAAGGACAGGAACTGACCTAGAGCACAGATCTACAGTACGTTACTTTACATAAGCCTACTCATAGTTGCGCTCACCTGTCACAAGAGCCTGAAAAAAGTTGATGTGGAGTACATGAATCCCATACTAGAGAAACCACCGCCCCTGAAAGATAGTCGCAGCCATTGTCTCGCTGGTGCCCAACATCTCTGTTCGAAGTTCGCATTGCGTTCCGAATGAGAACGCAACTGTGGTGGACAAAATGCCTGCCAGTGCATTCGTTGCCGTGAAGGTATAAACAGTGTTTCACCTACCAGTATGGCCCAACAGGGATTGCTGCGCAACCCCGCACCTCATGTCAAATATCCGAATACTCCCGTCTTGGCATCCGGCTGCAAGTGCGAGATCTGCGGGTATCTCTGCAGAATGGCCCACTGGTCCTCGACAGGAGTGTTTTGTGGGGTTGAATGTCTTTGACTGGAATGCCACTCGGTCAAAAGCACAACAGAGTATGGGGCTTTCCGCGGGTATATCGAGAACGCATTCCCATGCTCGTGTATCCCATACCTGATCATTCGGCAACACACAGCAAAATCCGAATGTTTCAACGGCGTGAACAACACGGCGCATTTTAGGGCAAGCTGCTGGCACCCAACCAATATGCAGCGTTCACGCAATACCGGGATGCCCATAAGGTCCCGAACAGAACCCACGAGCATAAGAGCTTATGGGCTCATATGTGTAGTGGACAGTGGCACGAAGTTCTTGTAGTAATACCTTTAAGACCTTGTCAAGCCCTGTAGAAACGAACAAGCCGTTGTCTCCCGGCATGAATTCGACGCTTGTAATGGATCGTGAATGACCTGCATGAGCCCCTCTAGAGCCGCTATACCCGGACTCTGAAGTTACACTGTTCCTCATGACCTGGCCTGTCACACATTTTCTCGGTGATGTTCTAGGTGCCGCTGGCTGGAAGCGCAAAGGGAGTAGATTGCGCCTGGGAGGCCTGTTGGAAGCGAAACCACAACGAATAGTGAGAAGGAAGATTGCAGATGTCGCTCGCTTTGCATCAAGCGCCGCGCAGTCAAAAATTTCGCAGACTCGAATTTCCGTTGCGACCAGTTACCGTGGTTGAGGCGCCTACTTGTCAGGCTTTCTCTGGACGTAACCAACGGGGTGGACCTTTGGCTCTGGGCCGAACCCCCCATTTAGGTTCCATGCGTCATCTGCCTCGAGGTCGAACAACGCGATTGTGCCATCCCTGCTGCTACTCAGCATGTAACGCCTGCACCACACACAACATTCTACATGCGGCTGGCCCTCGACAGAAAGCTGGTGCTTGGTTTGGCTGTGCTGCTGCAAGAGCTGATTGAAGGCTTATGCAAAAACCTTACCCCGTATGATCCAGTGAAAGGCGAGAAATCGGTGCAGAGTGACAGCGTGACAGAGTTCGCCGGGAAGCAAGCGACAACGACAAGATTCCTGCTGCCTGAAGAGACCGTAAGGAAACCTCAAACCTCACAGTAATATGGCACTGGCTAAAAGAGGCTCATGGACAAAGTATCTGCCTAGAGCTACCGGATTTGCACGTCCTCTACACGGTGACTCAAAAGTTTTTCTCTGGAAAATTGACGGGTGCATAACAAGAGGCTTGCCTCACGAGAGCGCTTCAACTCTTGGAAATCTTTAAGCCTCCGAACGCCGTAACGTCGGTAGTCAACAAAAATGTTGCCCGAAAGCTTAGAATTCCGCGTCCCCCAAGAAGGGACTGAGATGCCATGACGTGCTGGTTCCAATAAGCTCAGCTGTGAATAATGTCCCGGTAAACAGCCCGTTGGAAGCGCCCAATCCTCTCCCCCCATACAGAATTGAAGACTTGGCACAAGTGACGTTTCCACATCCGAATACAACTTGGGCGCAAGTTTCCAGGAAGTCAATCTTTTCCTATTGTGTCTGCCTTGCTCAGCTAACCAATTGTAGGCTGTCACAGGCGTCATGACTGAAGTATCTGGCGCCTTCGCTAGGCAGTGGCAATGTGGAGTGTGGGAATTTGCCACGGGCTACAAGACAGGGTTCTCCCTATGCTTAGTATAAGCAACGGAGTGAAAAGGCCCTTCTCTCCGGAAGATGCCCAGGTGCATACGCGAACACAGGAAGATCCAATCGACCACGTGAGACAACTCGAAAGCCAGCACATCGTGAGTTTAACACATTGCCTACCAGCTTACTTCACCCACTGCATACGTATATTGAGCGAAAAATTGAGCTACTTCGCAGGGGAGCAATAGAGATTATGCTTTTGTCTCGGCTACACCGCTCTCCAGCAGTGAACGCTGATAACGGAGCCCCTTGGTGGCCTTGCAGAAAATAATTTGCTTCGCTGTAGTTCACCCTGAAAATATCAACTGCTTATCTTTATTTGCATTGCTATGAAATTTGACGCTGTGGTTTAGAGGCTTTCATTCAAGCCGGTGTGTGAAAGCTTATCCCCTAGAAGAGAACACGGGCGAAACTGCCGGCGTGTGTTTGCGAGGTGACAGAAAGGAAGCGCTACGCATTCCTAGCAGGCAGTGACCTCAAATGATGACAAAAACAGTTGGTGTTTGGATAAGGAAACGTGTGGAGGAACATAAGGACATTATTTTTCCTGGGGTTGCTGACAGTCAAAAGGAACTTGCAAAGGAACGGGCAGCCCGAGCACAATGCCAGAAATGCCGTCCGAACGAGGTCAATTTGTAAATTCTTATCAAAATAAAGTTTTTATCAGCAGTGGTAACGCATAATCATGACAACTTTGGATGGTACAAAGCTTTATTCTTATTTCGACATCAGCAGTCTCGCGGACTCGCCTCATTCTTCCCCATGGTGCCTGTTATGAGGGATGCCGACACAGTCCTCCAGAAAAAAGTAGCTTGTGTCTAAATTCGACGTCCCAAAGCAAGTCCAGCTGATGGCGCCCGTTGTTTCCCTTGGTTCCTCTGATTTGCAAAGACATACTTCTCGTGCATTTCGTGAAGCTGCAACCGCCTCTGCGTGCAAGAGACGTTGACCAGTGACTGCTCTCTGGCAGCTGATCAGTGTCAGTGAGAACGCTTAGGCACATAAATTGGCATCCAGTCTCGCGGACCGAAAACACTGCAGACAGGATGTGGCATTCCCGAGACACTGTTCGTTATCAGGAACTTCGTCAGATTCATGAAGTTTTGACAGCCTCCGTCCTAGCATTCAGTTAGGGCTTGAGGATTATGGTTGCTCAAAAGAGTAGAACGCTATCTAGGAGTTACGCTACATACAGAAAGAACTGCTCCCACGACTTCATGAACTCGGCTACGACGTTCCAGATTTCGTCATTTCCATCTACCAAATCTGCGTGAACTACGCTCACTGGGTCACCCGAATGTAGAGAAAGATTTCTCACTGTCACGCAGTGGCAGAGCGGATTTGCCTGTTCTGTCCATCAGAGCAAACACAAGTTTCACGGCACACCAAAATACAAAACCTAGTTGGACAGCCTGTAGCCCCAGTCCCAGCGGCAAGGCAGCCCTTGCCTGACTTAGTATGTCGCCAAGGCCCCAACCTTGGAGTCTCACTCGCTGGGTGGCTCATTGGGTGCTACACTGTGTCCTGAAAAGTGACGGCGCTTGTTGCGTGTGGAGTGTGCCAGGTTGCCACACTTTCGAAAATAACACGGAGTTCAGCTGCTAACAGTTGCCACCTATACTGCCCTTAAATTGCGGAATCGACCGCCCTTTTTGGCTGGTCAAATGCTATTATTCTTCTGCAACGGACAGAAGGCCATGAAGAGTTGGAATTCTCATGGATCGACTCCACGCTCCGCGTAATTACGCAGAATGGCAACCTTTTTAGCGCCGATAACAATGTCTACGTCTAAGACTTTGCGGCTGATGAAATCAAGTACTCCGTCCTTGTTTGCCACGTAGTCCTTTTTGATAATTTCAATCTCCGCTTTTGTCCTATCTGCGAGTTCGTTTGTCAGGGAGTCATCCTGACCCAGGCGCTGAGTGTGCACACATACGGTGCTCAGGATCCGAAATGAAGAAGACAAGCGGTTGAATCCTTGTCCAATTTTGCATTTTGTTGGCAAGATTAGCTCCATAGTAATCAATTCAGGCAATAAGGTGTGGCTTCTCCCTCACCTGTTCTACTTCGACCTTGAATCTTTCTTCCTCCTTAAGGCGAAAGGCCCTGAGCTCCTCCTCCGCTGAGGCACGAGCATCCTTCAGCATCTTTATGCGGTCTGCACAGGCAAAGAAAAAGGAAGCCGTTGGTAGTAATAGCTAACACGTCAAGGAGTTCGAAGTCGCGGACTCAAGCTGCAAGCTAGACACTCGCGCACACAGTACTAGCTAAGCAGTTCAGGAATCAGCATAATGCAGGGCCATTCAAAAGATATTTACAAAAAGGAAAGATCCTGGAAGCGTTCCACTTGCACTGACAGCTTGCTGTGAATCTAGGCCTGTTTGAACCTCACTTTCTCTTGCTTTGTGTACTATCTGCTCGGCTTCCTCCTCCGCCCTCAGCAATTGTTGAATCAGCGCGTTGGAAGTCTTCATGTTGTCTGAACTTCAGCTATCGCGAAGGAACCGGAACCCTGGCTAAGGGGCCAGATACCGCAGGCGCTTCGGCTGGAGCAACTCCAATTCTTCAGCAATGAAGAGGCGCCCGTATATCTGTGAAGAAATGTAAATGGATAGAACAACCTCTGTAAGACGCGCGTCGGCCGCTGCATGGGGCTCTGTCCTGACCGTGACAATATGCTTCACAGGAAGGCACAAAGCTTCGGGATACCACTGTCTACAGCACGCATTTCTCTTCTCTAAGCCTCCGACAGTCTATTTCTTGTTTGTTTCCAGTGAAATAAAACAACAGTAAACGCCCTCAGGAGGCCTTCTACCCAGGTGTGTGCCCTCAGTAGGAGCTACGGCCCTAGCTGGTCCGCGTGATAGATTCCAGAAACGCTTCATGAGGAAGACCCTACTGAAATGTACCTTAAATGGTATTCGCGGCAAGTTGATGCCGGTTTCTGAACGCCACGTTGGAACAGACGGCTCCGCACAAAATGCAAGCGCAGCAGAGTATGGAGCTGCGCCTCACAACCGAAATTGCCGTCAAAATGCGCTATATAACACAGAAGGTCTCATGCAAAACATGTATACATACTAACGGAACATTACCAAAAGTTCCTAGCAGCTGTGCACGGCAAAGGTGGCCCTCTCGGGAGCGCATGCATCTGTGGGCTCCAAACTGGGCTGCCTGAACATCAGTATTCTGCAAGTTATATTGAATTTGCGACGTTAGCATCAACATCCCTATTTAATTTGCAACTGTGTCTCTTGCCGCTGGACGCCCCTCGATCGCTGCATTAGTGGGTAACTTCTGGACTGCTTATTGTTGGCGCTACGTCCAGGCCCAGACGTTTTTCTGGAGCATCACTAGGAACAAACCCTCCAGGAAACGGCCATTTATTGGCTACTGCAACATTTGTTTGGCGCTCAGACATAGCTTGTGGGAGCTCTGCTGCTCGTAGCCACGGAATAGTGCGACCAAACACTGTCCCAAGGTTGGCGTTATCTTGCGGCTGGTGGCAGTTTCTTCTCGCTACGCCACTCAACAATGGCCCTGGGGAGCCAACAAGGGCCAACGTCTTACTGTGAAACTCAAGCGGACAGGGACGATGCCAAGGGCACAGACGGAAGCCACGACGATTTCGACTCCCTCTTGGAGCCTCTTAACTTTTCGCGCCAACCAAAAGTATCTGGAGAGGCAGAATATGCTTACGCTAAGGGCGACAGCAAGGAAAGGCCTTTTGTCGCTCGCATAGGGGAGCAGCTGTTTTCGCTGGCTCAACTCGTCCGGTCGATTGGAGCGAAGGCCGAAAGGCAGGCGAGTGAGGGATCTGGTGAAAGCCAGTCATCCCCAGACCCGCAAACAGCACACCCGCTGAAGTATTTGCCGCTAGCAGCCGGCGTACTGACCTGCATCTGGGGATGGCGCGCGGCCAGGTCAATAGAGCGTGTGGTGGCTCTCCGTTACTCGGACATTGCCTACCAGATTCGCCGGCCTGATGCTTTAACTTCCCGCATAAGTGCCTTCAAGTTCCTCGTGCTAGGTGGACTCGTGCTGCCGAGTTCGGCAGTTGCGTTTGCCAGCTGGCAGTCGCGCAAGAAACCTGCACAGCCACTTGGCCTCTCGAAAGCGTCACAAGACATGCACGCGGGATCTCAAGAGCTTCCGAGCGTGCCTTCTCCTAGACGATTGCTGCTTGCGGACATGTTGCCCGTATCAACGCAGGCTGAGCTGCGTCGGCTGGTAAGGATTTGGCGCATCTTAGTCTTATTCCTTTGGCGTAATGGGCCTCAGCTGGCCAATATTTCAACTTCAAGTGTCTGGTTCTGGGCAGGCGCGTGTAGCTGGGCGAAAAGATGGCAAGGGCGTTTCAATCCTTTGCTTATTGTGTGTTGCGAGTCTGCTTTGACGTATAGGCGCAGTCTTTCCACAGGGGCTTCTCGGAGTTCGTAGAGGCTGTCACCCCGTCCAAAGAAAAATGGGCACATTGGGCGGCTGGGGCTAGGGCGTCGCACACGACAGGCCTGCACAATCCATCGGCGTGGACTTCACGCATAGCCACATTTCCTTTGCCAGATTCAAAAGCTGCTGACTGAACTGTTTGAAGGGCTGACTACATCTGGTAGACGCACTTGTGGCTTTAGCAGGTCACCGCAACAATGCCAACAGAACCGATTTATTGCGTTTGCACCGAGTGCAAATAGCACAGCGTCGAATGAGTTGCACTGCTCATCCGCGCGCACTATTCAAGATGAGTTGACTGCCGTAGGGCAGTCCATCGTTTTTTTTGTGAACGCTGCATGCAATTTTGAAGAGTACTTCGATGGCTTTTCCTTATTGGGGCATGGTTACATCGGCGCCCCCAAGAGCTGCACATGGTAGGAGAGGGGAAACTTCGAACAATTCGAGCTCCTGGTAGCTAGCTGCACGTAGCTTAATTCACTGCAGCGGAGTTTTCATCTGTGGGTGTAAGCAACAGTTTGCTGGGAGGGGGTGTACAGGGCAATGGCTTCCCCTTTCGGTGAAGCGTTGAACAGTGCTACTCAAGATAATTACTACATCCACGCTGCAGTGGCGCCATGTGTAGGAGATCTGAAGTGTTGAACAATACAATTTAGGATGATTTGTGTTGTATCTAGTCATATGCACTGGAACATGTAGAGACACTGTACAAGGACTGCCCAAGTCGTGCGTAAGCGCTCTACATAGAGTCTCATACACACTAACCTGCGGGGAGATAAGTGGAGGTGACTCTAGGGCTAAGACGCCACAAAAGGTATCTTTAATAAAATTTTTAGCATTGTCAAGACAGATAAAGCTTGATGAGCACTATTGTAGACGAGTGCTTATTGTACCTGCGCTCTGAGAGTTGCTGGTACTGCATGCGTCGGGTCCTAGGGACCCTTCATTGCCTGCGTCTTTAAAGCGTCAGCATTAATTAACTAGCGACTCATGTTTCATTTTTCACTCTTGAATTTATTTAGGAGCTGTTGGCGTGACTCGGTTTCCCTGAGTACTTTGGTGAGTAGGGCACCACGGAAGTTTACTTCGTGGAACGTCCACTGCTTGTAGTGGAGCTGGGGATCTGCTGGGCTTATGATGCATGAAGCCTTGTAAATTGCCGTGTGTAGCCACTTCGTCCCCCACCTTGTCTAGGGAGCTGAGAGGCTGCCGGTCATGCATATCCAAGTTTTGCCGTGCCGGTGCTAGCGAGGTACACAAGACATTCCCGAGGGTCCATGCCCGACATGTTTGGAAATGAATTAGTTGCTGTTTGCGCATATGGAGGCGCAGAGAGCTTGACAGCGTGATTTGCGTCAAAGAAAGCAATAGCGCCCTCACATTAGAGCTTCAACGCAACTTGTTATTTCGAGCTACTCAGGCCTGGTAGCTCGGCGCGCTAAGCTACGAAGTTAATGCCTTTAACTTGTTGTTCTGATGCCCGGCATGTCAAAAACTAAGACCGAACCCATTTTTCCTACCTCCACTGCAGTGGATGCGGAAGCTTCGTCTGAAAGTGCTGCGCCTCCGGCCTCGGGCACGTCCAGACAACGCGCGCTTGCGGTTCGAAAGGCCGGCAGTTCAAACGCCGTCAGCGGGCCAAATCGTGAGGCCAAACTTGAGGGAAGTAAGCAGCGAAAGGGAAAGCAACACGGGGGGTCCGCGGCTGCTGTGGGTAGTGCACCGCCGCAGCCAGCGAATCGTAGACGCCCGCGGGGGAGCTCAGTGACGTTCGCTGCTGATTACTCAACGCCATGCGTGGCAGCTTCCACAATTTCCCGCCCTTCCTCGCCGTCAAATGATGGCAATCGCTACAAGAAGGCTTCCGTAGGCCCCAAAAATGCCCCGCTACCTACTGGGACTTCTATGAGCAAGGAGGAGAAAATCAACTTGCCTTCTGCAGTGGGCAAGTCCTCAGCGGGCGTGCCCACAACCTCTCTGCGCGTGAGCCATCGAAACTGGCAGAGCAACTGCATGTTGCTGTACAAGCACATCATGTCGCACATCTTGGAGTGGCCAACATTATCTGTCCAGTGGCTTCATTCGTGCAATCCGTACGTCATCCAGGGAGCTCAGCGGGTACTCACAGACGTTACTTGAACTAGCCCATTATGGCTGAAAGGAGAGTGCTTTTTGTTGCTCCCTCGTTCTATTTCGAGGCTGGAAAGGCACCACGTGTGCTCCATTTGGAACTGTGCACACAGCCGGGGTTCTTGATTATTTCAGGCGCTCTAACGGCGAGATAGGGCAGACATTGCTTCTGTCGACGCACACGAGTGGCGGCGCTGCAAACTACCTACTGCTCATGGAGGTGAGTTTATGCCGATTAGCATTTCGCTTCTTCTATAGGCCGTTGGCAGCGCGTTGAAGCGTGCTGTAGGTGCGTTTAACTTCTTCTGTACCCTTTTCTTTGCAGGTTAGCCTCCCATCCGAGCCCATTGACGCCTCTGGGCTCCACTACGAACAGAGACAAGGTGAGTCCTCACAACTTCCATTTCCAACGCATCTCTTTATACCGTTGCGTGTAATGTTGAACCAAAGGCGGCCGTGGCCAGAGGCTGCGGTCGTTCTTTACATCGACAGGACATTACTGTCTGGAACTGAACTAGTGATGTCGAGCAGACTACCAAGGCTTTGAATTCGGCGATGAGGATACGCGGAAATTCACCATAACTGCGCGCATTCCGCATGAAGGCGAGAGCAACAGGTACTTTCCACGAAGCTTGTCAAGTTAGCTTGATTGCCTGTAGGTGCCAACTGAGGGTGGCACAGTGAAGACTGGTGCAGGGTGTACCATCGTGCAGTGCGGCTTGCCGATTTTCCGCATTTTTTCTCAGGGCTCGCATTTTTCAGGGCAATGACACACTTATCGCAAGCAAAGCGAACGATGGCTGTGGTGGGTTACGTTGACTGAAGTCATGTTTACTCACGAAGGTTTTTACCTTGCCTATATTGGCAATGCTCCGCTTGTACATAAGATTGTATCTACGCTCGCATAAATGTGTCTTGCCGTGGTAACCTGTCGCAAACCCGTGGTCGAGGAAGTGGCATTCTGTGCTGTTTTCAATTGTGCAGTTTACCTGTTTGACTCTTGCAAGTTTGGCCCCGAACTATGCGCTTCCGATGCGGAATCTGAGGAGAGCCAAAGCACCTCAAAACGAGGCCAGATGGCTGCAAACGCAGAAGCTGTCCTCACGGGCCACACGGCGCAAGGGTGAGGAAATTCTGCAGAAAGGCAAGCCGTTTCCTCTGATAGTTTTGAGCTGGGCCGAAACGTTTTCTGCCAGATTCAATGTACTTGTGGCATTCTCCTCAGTTGGGGCTTGGAGTGGAGCCCAACAAGGGAGGGATGGCTTGCCTCCTCGGGTGACGATGGACTTGTCTGTATTTGGGACACGAGGTCGTCTTGTGAGTCTTACGAGTAGCTACGCCTCTTGTCTGCTGTTTGCACATGTTGAATGTAGTTTTATGCGGCTATTCCCCTACATTAGGATCTACACGGTCGATGGGTACTCCACACTCGAGGTAGGAACGGAGCTTTTCGTATGGGGATTTTCTCTTCTTCATTGAGCATCACTATAACAGCATTGTGCATTTGTTTCAGGTGGCAAAGAGAAACGTTTGAGCCCTGTTCACTGCTTGGTGGCCTCGAGTGACCGCAGACCCTTGCAGGTGCAGATTGAATAGGGTGCTGAATCCGGCGAAGTTGCAACACTTGCTCTCTGCAGCCCAGGCGCGCCACATTTCTATACGCGGGAGTGTTGCTGCGTGAGTGTGAACGATTTTGTTGATAGGACGTGGCATGGAAACGCGGGGATGACGCGGGAGAAGTCATCGTGGCCGTCGGTGACGATGGGCAGCTGAACATGTAAGATGCCAGAAGGCGTTCCTCCCCTCTACTGTAGTCACAGTTGGAAATCCCAAGTCTTCCTTTCTGTGGAGTTATTGCTCTGGATGTGGGCCTTCGAATTCCTTTTTGTTTGCTGTTGCCTTCAAGCTGGGACTTACGTGCGGGCGCGTCGCCTGTTCACCGAGTAAGCAGTTTTGGTTGGGTGGCAAAGGCAGTTGTTTAGGAGCTTTATATAGTATTCAAGTATGCTATTCTTCGCAGTGAAAGTGCACTCTTCAGCATATCAGCTGTCCAAACGCCATCCCATGCGCATCAGTCCTGTTCCAGGTGTGTGTGTTTTGCAGCAATGCTGCAACCACGCGTGTGCGAACGTTTTGGCCTTGAACCCCGTGGCCCCAAATGTTTTTGCCACTGGAGGAGCTGACGCGGTTCGCATGGCCTCACGAGGGACTTCTTTACGCGTTCGAAGTAGTCATTGCTTACGTGTCTCCATCCGGTTGTTTCTGTCAAGACTAAGGCAATGCATTCACCACTGTGTCGAGACATAGTGGATGATGGGGGTCTTTTTGGTGTGCTTAGGGACTCAGTGTCTGGGACTTTCGAGACCTCCGCCGACCAGCTCACCGCCTGTTATACCTAGAGGATGAAGCACTAACAAGTCTCAAGTGGCATCCACAAAACAAGGCCGTGCTCGCAGCAGGTACACTCGTATGTCACTTTCCAGTGCTTCAGTGCTTCTGAAATCTGTGCCTTGTGTACCAGTAGCAGTGGAGTGTGGACTCGTGACACCTTGCCTGAGAATAAGAACCTCCTTTGACTGCAATTGTTTTAGGTGCAACTGATCGTTACGTCCGCATTTTTGACTGTTCACTGATTGGCGCCGAGCAGTCGCCAGAGGAAGCGGAAGAAGGAGCTCCAGAAGTAATTTTTGTACATGGGGGCCACGTCGCGGGCATCACGGAGATTGACTGGAACCCAATCGAGGATAAGTTCCCATGGGTAGGAGCACTACATAAGCCAAAGCCCTTCTTACTTACGCCTTGTTAAGAGGAGGCTGCCAACTGCAGCTTATCGTTCAGTGTGGCTCTGTGGCTGATTCTTGTAGGCTATCGCTTCCGCTTCCGAAGACAACGTACTGCAAATTTGGCAGCCGGTAAGCTGCAGCTGGGAGAAATGTACTCAAGGCTCCACAGCGTGGCTGATTACACGAAACCTAGATTATGTAGCTAGAGCTGCCATGCGTGGCCACCGTCCGTGAAGGCCCTATCGTGCCCATGACAAAAGCATTCATAGGAAAATGTGGCTCGCGATATAGATTCACATGCAGCTGCACGAGCCTTCACGAAGCTCAAAATCCATCAGTAACATGCTTATGGAGCAGATTTTTGCCTTGCTTCGCGGTCGGCGTTCACTGCAGTCGATAAAGGCATTTGAGATAGAGGAGGCGAACTTTTTGTACGAGGAGGGAAGCATGGACGAAGAAATTCTCGATTAATGCTCTCTCCGCCATTTGTCGTCAAGTGCACGCACCAGTTTAGAAAAAGCGGACAGCGCCCCAATGTTGCCTTCAAGTACGCGCGCAGCCTGGCACTGCGCCGACGCAGTAGCAAACTGTCAAACTACCTGCGTTGCATGGCCCAGTCGTGCCAAGTGATTTTACGGCTGCAGTTGCGTCCCGTAGGCATATGTATGTTCCTCAGTGAGGGGCCTGCTATCAGTCAGGAAAAACTACAATTAACGAAGCCAGCGTTGGGCCGCTGCAGCTGGCAGGAAAACGCGTAAAGTTCTCAACTAATCCCACGGCGGGTGTTTAGCCCTAAGAGTTTGGCGTCCGCAGTAGCACACGCATAGGGGAGAGCAGGCGATCAGATGCATCGAAGCATAGAGGGCCTCTGCGTTGGGACGTCTTGGGAAAGCTATGGCTCGCCTTCTCAGACGTTGAAACCCGCGAACCAGTGGCCTCTGGGCGCCAAATAGGGCTGGGAGGGCCTAACTTAACTTGTACTAGGCATCCGGGCGTCTACGCAAGAATGAGTCAATCCAGACAGCGTCCTGCGACCATGAAGCACATGGCAGCGACCGACATCAGTAGGCGCAGTTGCGTAAGGCAATAGTGGTACTCCATAATTTTGTGGAAAGCCATATGTTTTCTACTAAGTCCCCGAATACTTGTACTCCGTCTGTCTGTCTCCAAACCTTCACTCCGTCATTCACGAAAAACATGAGAGGCAGTTCCACCAAAGGCAGTCGAGAGCAACATGATAGCTGCAGCACGCAGTTGTGTACTTTACCTGCAATACGTTTGTTTCTCTTCTGTGCTCCGCAGGTTGCCATGAGACGTCCGTGCCAATGTCCAGTTCAGCGTGCCTCATAGAAGGAAGTAGCCCTGGCTTCCGTCGGCTTCTTAGCGCCAGTTTGTCGGGCCTTCGTGCTCGTTTGTTGCTCCCTGGCTCTGGTGGAGCTTTGATGCTGTGACGGCTGTCAGGGGAGGCTGGCGATGCTAGCCTCGATGCTGGGCTAGCGGAGGCCTCGCTTCCGGCAGCTCTGTTCAGACGGGCACAAACCATTCGGTCATCGGCAGGTAGTTGTCTTAGTTTTCCCACTCCAGCATCGCAGCCGCTGAGCTCACATACGGGGCGCTCTACGACTCGACCGTTCGCGCCATCTTTTGCATGCGTAACGGAGGCTAGACTCGAAGCGCGGGCGCGCTGTGATTGAGGGGAATGCATAGAGGCATGGGGTGTCTGTAACCCGCGCAAAGTCCGGAATAGCCAGGTGTCCTCCTCCGCGTCATCGGCGTCCCCAGCAACAGTGACAGCTTGGGCAGCCTCCCTGCTGAGTTGCAGCTGCCCTTCTGTCTGCGGTTGATTGGGCTGTTGCTGCATCAATTGCGCCAGGCTAGCCTGTAAGCGTAGTGCACAAACTCCGAATGAGCAAAACCCGTATCTGTGTAGCTGTCGGTCTTCGATAAGATACCTCCAAGCGCTACATCTACATGGCAGCAGCACCGAACTTCCGAGGGTGCTCACCAGTTTATTGCATTTATCGGCAATGAAACTCAGGCATTCTTTGCCTGTCGACAAGAGGCTGTCAGGAGATGCGGATGGTGGCTGCCGTTGTGCGCTTTCCATGATCCTGAAAGTGGGATCTCGGCGAACCGTTTCGAGGGCCTTAACCCTTTCAGTAGCGAGGAGCAGCTGCTGCTGCTTCTTCACCAATTCTATTGAAAGCTGAACGCAGGCAATGAGCACAGGGCCGAAGCGCGTGATATTCCAATCGTGCATGGAATGTAGCAAGTGGAGAGAACGCTGGCAACGGCTCAATGACTGTCTCTGGCGTACACTTCTGGCCTCAGAGACAACGGATTCCTCCTCTTGATACGCTTTGCGTGACTCTTCGCGTTGTCGAACAACTCGGCCTCTGAGCTCTTCGATTGCAGCCTTTGCGTCGACTTGCTCATCTGTTCAGTAGACAGCCACAGGCCCGATGCAGTTTGAGCCCAGCAACCACCCGCCGTGGCCTCAAACTTCACCTCAAATATACTGCAACAGCCGCCAGTAGAAACTCAATTTACCATGCACGCTAGTAACGTCTGATGCCATCTGAGTCAAATTTTCATCTGCCGCCTCGGCGCTGCCGCATGTGCAGTGGTAGCCCCGTGAAAGAACCTGCCAACGGTCTAGCCATATCTGCCACAGACAAGGAAGTCCACACTAGAGTTGATGGCACTTTTTGCAGCCAAGGAAGCATAGGCAGGAATTTCTGGCACCTAGAAAGCAGAACAGCCACTCTGCGCAGTGTCCTACCCGTCTCGAAATCGACGCCAGCTGAAGAGCAGAGGCACTGAGCAGGGAAAGAACTAACCTCGAAAACTGCCATCCGGCGCTCGTGTACACTCATGAACGCAACTGCCTGTAGTGCAGGATGCTTAAGGAGTTGTTGCGTCACATCCTCTGAATTCTGCTGTTGGTCGCTGCAGTCTGGCCCAGATTCTGCTGCAGCATTGGCAGCGGAGGTCTTAACGGCCTGAATAAGGTGGGAAATTTCCTCCTCAACTGCCGTCTTTGCTCCTGCGCGGAGTTTGCTCAGCAGTGCCGATATCATTGCCGACGGGCCCCCTAGGGCACGAGACAAGCAGAATGCGCACGTGGCATTGACAGATGCGCAGAATGCCTCTCCTGCTTTGAGGGCCGCCCAGTCGCAACTGAAAGATCCGTCGGATTGCCAGAAATGCGAGCTTGGTGCGTCTTGGCGGGGTACAGCCGGAGGCCACCGAACGCCTTTTGGCAAAGAGAGCAGCCCTACGAATAAGTCGGACAGGCCTGATGCATCTACACCATTGGAATGTGGCCTCTCAGTCTCACTGGGTACGCGAAGATGCGCAGGAGGCCTGTGGTGACAATCAGTTGGCATGGAAGGGTTTGGGAAGCGTTGTTCCGGCTGCTGGGCCGCATTTACTTCCGCTAGCTTGCTGAATACCCCTGAGGAATGAAGGGAGGAAGCGTTCACGCGGCTACAAAGTTCACCAACGGGTACTGTTTCTGCTGGAATCGTCGCCATTGCTGCTCCCCCGTCTCTCTCGTGGGGCACGAAATTCACTGACGTCTGGGACTAGCTCAGAGATAGTGCAGGGGCTTCAACCTTTCCTTCACAATGTGTGGGAAAAGTGGAATCCCGGCGGATTTGTCACTTCTGTCCTCTCTTGAGTCTCAGTGAATGCCAAGCATTCACGATGCATCCTCCGCATTACTCCGTAAGGACGGGGTGTGCACGAACACTGGCAGCCGGTATTATTCATGTGCCCGCACTGTTCAACCTCGAGGCCTAGAGATAAAGTGAACCGTGGGCACTGAATGCCACATCAGAAGCCCGCGTGCACTCATGAGGAGCTTCGATATTGCGGCAGAACAGTAATGTACATTGCTTACGATTGATATGCTATGAAAGACAGAGTTACAACTGGGCTATGTTCACTGGGGCTCCTTCGGCTCCCCTCCTGAGGAAAACTGAAGCACGGGTCTTGGAGCAGCAGTCCAATTTCTGGTAGTCAGTGTAACCGGTAAGAAATGTCGTTCGTCTACAAAAAAGAAATAAATGGATGCAAAAAAGTGGAGGGCATGTGAAAATTGGTTTTTTGCTCCGTCCCCCACCCCCCGACGGGAAGCACCAACCGTCAGAGGTACAGGGTCAGGTGTTGCTAGCTGCCGCTTGGGAGGGGCCCAGGGGCCCAGGGCCCTGCGTGCAGCCTGTGGCGCATCATAGTCTCTACTGGCACCACGCAGAGCTTCAGAGAAATGGATATATATGTATTTGCATCCAGAAAAGTGTCTCAATAAAGGCCATGATATTTTGCCGAAGCCGCGCGTTCCGCAGTGGCGAAGTCTCATGCCAGCCCACGAGCCCTGGCCCATTGGTTCACGGTTCTCCTACCTCCTGTTTCAAGGCATTTGCAATTACAGAAGTCTATTGTGTGAGTTACAGTCATTAATCTTGTGTTGCTGCCGAGAGAGCCTAATGGGGTTCTCTCTGGACTGCTGGCAGCCAACAAATCATCATTGCTGTGGACTTTCGGCCAGTCGAGGAGGGACTTCGTGCACATGAGTCTATCAGGCAGCAATGCAGCGGCACTTCTGTGACTTGTTCTCAACCCAAGTCCTATATTGAAACTTCCTGGATAGTGAAGGCCTGAAGGATGCGTGCTTCTATGGAGCCAGCTTCGATAAACGCTTGCGGCAAACAGAAACCTTCGAGCAGTCCCACTGATGATAATTTGGCTGGATTGGAGGCATGAAATGCAGATACTACAGGGCTTAGGAGTACTGAATTGCCGTCTTCCGTGTCTGATACCCACAAGCTCTGTGGTGAACAACCCAAGAAATACACCGCATCTCTGACCGTGCAGCATGCCAGGGGCACTCATATTTGTGGGCCTTGTGAGCTCTTGCTTTCAGGACATTTTCTCGGCCGACTTCAGGAAGATCGTCCTTCCCGTCTACAACAAGCCTTAGGATCACGCTTCTCCGGAGACTCAGAGATAGACCGTAGAGTCCACAAGCGAGAATGGGAGACGCTCCGGAGAAAATCCATATAAAGAATTGCTACGGTCAGCTGAGTCAAAAGTAGTTACCGCTGATGTTTAACAAGTCCCCAGTTTTATATCAAATTTATGATCAAAGACTTTCTCCAGGTCAGGAGACGCTGCGCATTTTTAGTAATTGTCCTCTTTGTAAGCTTACTAGCAGCCAGAATGGTCCTTGTCTGTGGGTGGTCGCAGCTGAACCATGGAAGGTCCCCTATTCGGATATTCGCTTGGCAAGCAAACAGACTGAATCGGTCGGACTCGCCTGCAGCTACCGATATGTTGCTGTGAGCCACGGCCTGGCCAAAAACAACTTTTTTAGCTAGAGCACGGGATATCCCTGTATGCGAATCATGTAGAATACGATGCCAATACGTGATGGAGTGGTAGTACCACTGTGTGGCAGTGAGAAAACTGCTGCAGATTTGGGTCCTGAAGCACGAGGGAGTGTAGAACTGAGGAACAATGCAGTGCAATGGGAGAGCTAGCAACTGTGCTAAAACACTGTTTTTTCAGGCTCCATGGGATGTCGGTGGGGGTGGCATGATGGGTTTGATCAACCTGTCGGATTGTGGTCGGAACCCGCCTGTGACAAAGATTAAGGGACACACAGGGTCTATCCAAGATTTGGCATTCAGTCCATTCTACGAGTCGATTCTCGCATCAGGGTCAGAGGGTATGCGGCGTACCCTGAATTCACATTTGCGCACCACGCATTGTCGTGCATTGAGTCGCTCCACATTCGTGTACGGCTTTTCACATCTCGCTTCTTCGAAGGCGACAACTTGCCTTTGAACAAGCGAGCTGTACGGATGTGCTGGGTTGTTCTATGTGAATGCGATATTGGCTCCAGCTGCAAAAGAGAGGGTCTGAGATTCCTTCGTAGTTCATGTGGTGCCGCTAACTGGCTCTAAAGAAATACCAGTAGAGCAGGTTAGGCTCATTGCTTGGGGACGATTCTGCGTGTCTGCAGATATGACAATACGCATATGGGATGTTCCCAGCGATCCACCTCCTGGACACGAGCTGAAGGACCCTGTAGCCATTCTAACAGGATCTGCCAAGAAATTGATTGCGACGGAGTGGAACCCGGTAGCGGACTTCATTCTTGCCTCCGGTTGTTTTGACGGAACTGTTGCACTTTGGTGAGAAATCTGCTGAGGCCAGAGAAGTCGTTTAGAGCTCATTGTTGCAGTACGACTACGCAGACGGCCTGCTAGTTTCTGTTTTTGAACTTTAGACTGGAGAATAGCCACCAGAAGTTCCTGATTGCAGGAGTACGCATGAAATGAGTTGGGATTTTTCCCATTGGCCTAGTGTAAGCATCAGAAACCCGAGATCACTTGCCTACTGGAGCAGACTTGTTGTTTTGATTCCTTTGAACGCTCCAGGGATGTCGACTCGGCTTCGTTAGTCAGTTCTATCTCACTGAGCGATGCAGTTCTTTCTGTTAAATGGAGCAATTCAGGGTGAGAACTTCAACATCGAGCCCGACCTTTCCGCAGTGTGTATATTCCATAACACTGAATGCCTCTGTGAATTTTTGTTTCGAGTAACACCAGGCGCTGCTGGCACATTCTTGTTTGTTGTTCATGCTGTTATATTGGCCAGGGACACGCTTGCAAGCACAAGTAAAGACAAATCCCTTAGCATCATTGACCCTCGAGCAAAGAAGATTGTGGCCTCAGTCAATTGTCATGAGGGCCCCAAAGCAACAAAATGCTGTTGGGTTGATGGGTTTGCCGGCTCCCCTGGTCACATCCTTACAACGGGTTCCAGCAAGTCTAATGAAAGGGAGTTGCACCTGTGGGATATCAAGAGTTTTACTAAGCCGTAAGAAGGCAGATTCAGTTTGCTCCGTCATAGTCCGCGATGCATTTCCACGTTTGTGTGCGTATTCTGCGTGTGCTTCCGTTTGCACTTCTGATGCCAAAACAACTCCTCCTGAACTGCCCGTGTGGTTCAGTAAACGTACATGCTGGTGACTGATAGTTTGCAGGAGTCATGTTATGCCGTGGTTGTGTGAGGAAGATGTTGGAATCTCCGTAATGCTTTGGCTTGTCTTCAGATTGCTTCGTGTGGAGATCGATCGCGGCTCACAGCCTCTCTACCCAATTTTTGACGAAACACTTGGGATGCTTTATGTGGCAGGCAAGGTATGGAGCGTTATTGTTATTATCTGACGGGTTGTCAGTTTCGTAGGCAGCAAACTTACCTAATAGGAAATTCCCTTCCCGTGATGCAATTTGTGAACCGGACGAAAGAAGACCCACAGTTGTCTCATCAGAATACTAAATTCTACATTGCCCTATTTGAGCTCACATGAAGTTTATGAGGTACATATGAGCATGCTCGTCTGGTTGATCGCATGCGTATTCAGGGAGACGGGAACCTACGATATTTCCAGTTTTACGGAGGTGAACTGAGACGTGTCGACGACTACAGGTCAAATGTACCAATCAAGTCCTTTTGTTTCGTCCCGAAGCTGTAAGCTGCCTTTAGTGTTTTGTTGGTTGCATCTGGAGTACGCTGCTTCTTTTGTCAGAGTCTTAATAGCAGTGCTGCCATGAGGTTGTCGACCTATTTATTCTCTTGATCTATAGACAAACAAATATTAAAATTTGCAGAACAACCTGGGGTGAGTGTGGGAAGGAATATTTCGCTGGAATTGTGCACATTGCTGCGTTGCTGAAGCGTGGTCGACCAGAAGCGAGCAGAGATCGGCAGAATGCTTAAGAACGAAAATGGAAAAGTGCTTCTTCCAGTATCCTTTATTGTTCCCCGGAAGAACCAGGACGTTTTCCAAGCCGACCTCTACCCGCCTACGCCGGGCGTTGATGCAGCCTTGGTAACTCTAGCTGTAGTGCAGGATAAAAGTCATCTGGACGTCATCGGCGTTGAAGAAAGTAGCTTAATAAAGTAGCAACTTTGCAGGTTGCTCAGATAAGACTGTCTTCTCAGTTTCCTATTCAACTTAATCCCTAAAAACAAATGCTTGCAATATGAGTTCACAGACCGCAAGTGAATGGATCTCAGGGAAGAATGGAGTGGTAAAGCGCATAGTGCACCAACCCGGTAGGTGTCCACTACGTGGCAACCACGCATTTTACTGAGTATGAGGCCCTCTCCTTTATGAAACATAGCTTCTTGACAGTTTTCTGAGTCGCTTGTTCTATTAACAGCGCTACTTGAGAGTGCGTTAACTGCACAGGGAATATTCCACAGTTCAAAGGAGCTGCTAAGAGTCAGACACCCCAAGCAGGAGGCATGCGACGGCTTGAATCAACTCGAGTCATTTCAGAGCAGGCTCCTTCGGTGCTTCAGAAAACCGTAGAGAAAGCTCAAGACGAGACAAGGAGGGTAAGGCCTTTTGCGCAATCTTAGACCTCATGTTCACATGCATGAGGCTCACGCGGCAATGGGGAAGTATACTCACTCGCAACACGGATACGCGCCGGTGGAATTGTTGGTGTGATTCCCTATCGCAGCTTGATGCAATTAACAAGTCCCAGGAAACGAAGATTAAAGAGTTGGAGGCCCGTGTCAGAGAACTTGAGCCCGTACAGCACACAACAACACGCCCTTCCCAGTTCGTTCAAAATACTCTCTTTCGCTTTGCGTTTCTTGTGTAAAGTCTCAGGCGTTTTTGTATTAAAGATGCCGCCCAATCAAATATCTGTACGTGTTTATCCATTTTGTCAAAGAGAGCAACTGATTAGTGTTATTTTGTGCCACAGCTGGAAGCAAAAGTAAAGCAGCAAGAGGAAAAAATAAGATCTCTCGAGGTAATTGTGGAACCTCTGTTTCTTCCGTATGCAGCTTTAGGTGGCATGTGTATCTGTATATTTATTCTTGTAGTACCGAAGAAAAAGTCATGTGCACGTCTTTTGGCCTCGTGCCCATGGAAGTTTGACTCTGCCGCGGAGAGTATACAATCTTTGAGCTGGATTCAGGCGTTAGCAGTGACTTAATTAGTGTCGAGCGTACAACAGCCGTGACGTGGCTTTTCTGCTTTTGTCTGACTCAGAGCAAGGCGCAAAATACAGTGCAGCAGGCCGCTCACAGCAAAGTAAGTTGGCCACCCTAGTACTTAGCTTTTAGTCAGGTTGCATTGAGGGTTGCAGTTGCACTCAAGCACATAGCGTAGGGGCGCTTGGCTGATGTTGTTATATTACTGAATGTACTGCACTATAGAGTTAGAGAAGCCTTGAGTTAAAGACTGCTGGGCGTGCGTGATTGTTCCAATGTTTGGTCGTTGCAGCCTGGGGAGCTGGAGGAGAAGATTAAACAACTTGAAGCAGACAACGTTTCGCTGCGCGCCCAGCTTGAGGATAGTGCCTCGAAAGTGGTCCAGGCGCTTAAAGAGGCCAAGGCAAAAGATGCAGAACTGCAGAAGATTCAGAGCCAGTTAGAAGCAAAGGAAAAGCAACTTGTTGAACTGACGAAAGCCCACCAGGAACTTAGCAGCAGCATGGCAAGGGCAGAGGGCACACTGCAGCGAGCAGCTACTCTCTCCGGATTGGATGAAGGCGTTCGCCAGGAGTTCAACGAGGTCTGGCTTTTATGTTCGAATACATTTCGGAGTGCAGGTGCTCTCGTGTGTTCTGTGCTTTTTCGTACTTTGTCCCAGGCATTGGCATTATTTTGCCGAACCTCTTTCTGATACTGTGATTTGACTCGCAGATGAGGGACTTCTTTCGGGAGATTTTAGATGGGACCCTAACAGAACTCGCCAAGGAGTGACAAGCGAAAGCCCTCCATATTTCAGAAGCACGCCGAGTAACAACCCGGCAAGACATCCAAAAGAGGCACTAGTAAATAGCAGATTGCCCGCAATACTTTTCTGAGACCCTATGCCACGCACTTGGCGAGACGATTTTTCGGCAACGGCTATCTATACGCACTTCGTCTCACATTCAGGAAACGATTTGTTTCCATTAGAACGAGTCTTAGTGGGACCCACCGAGACCAGAGGATCATGAGCTTGAATATGGGATGCCTATGGCAGTTGGCGTACCTTTGGCCTAAGGCTCGTGCAAATGTTTCGACCAGTACACTGCTATTTGTAGATTTACTAGTTAATTCTTGCTGCCGAAGTCTTCATGGTACGCGCTTCTTAGGCAAAATAACAGTCACTGCTGGGTTAAAGGACTCGCCATTTTCCGAATACTTAGGAGCACTCTCCATGCGAGTTATTGAAAGCCATTAAAAAGTTTGTCTGTAACTATACGGTTTTCACAACCCTTTCGCATATCCGCATGCAGCAGGAGAATAGTACCTTTCAAAGTTCCTACAGGAACTTGACTGATTTCAGAAAATTCATAACCATCAACCATTCGTTTGACTGAGGCTGTGATCCTGCGTAAAACACGCAGCTAAACAGGACCCAGAAACCCAGGCAGAGCTTTGAAATCTTACACGGACGTAAAGTTGGATCTAACGGCGTCCCTAAAAGTCACTCTGAGCGTCTCGGAAGTGCCGACCTCAAAGGTAAAAATTTTTTTGAAAATTCTCAGTTTTTGCGTCGACGTGCATCACATGCTGTTGCTCAATGCAAGGACCTACAAGCCGCGCGGAACCTGCCGGCATGCTTGAAACGGGGGAAATCGCGTAGAGAGGCGCGTTGGACCTTTGCTTGACGCCTCTTTAGGTTCATAACTGCCTGCAGTTCCTCGTCTTCGGTGGAGAGAGGCGTCGAGAGCTAAACATATTTGCTTCTGTTGTAGTTGCACTCTTCCTGCACGCATCGAAAACTTTCTTGGACCTCGTAGTACGCTGCATCTGACTCAGCTCGGCGTTGAAGCTCTTCAGCGCCTGTATATTTTATTGGTGGCACCATTAATGGGGCATTTTTTCATGCGTGCATTTTAGGCGCCTGCAGAGGGCTTGTATAGTTATTCATCATGCACTCTGTAATTTCACCTCAGTTGTACTACTTTTCTATTCCTTATGCCAAAATTTTCTTGCCAGACAGGGCTTCTTAGAATGTATGAGACACTACTGAGCCAGCCAAAGCATCCCGTGTGGTAACCTTCACTTGAGACAATTGGAGTGCATTAATGAAGTGCGGATGGGCTTTTGAAGTGCTTTTTAAAAATTGTCGGAGAGAGGAAACGGCTACACACACAGAAATGAGCATGCTTAATTGCATATTGCTTACTCGCATTCGGCTATTTCTAGCTACAAATGCAACGCGGGCTTGCCAACTCATTTCTTCCATCATAGGCTGGGTTTTCAGTCTGAATTTGTAAAGCTAGCTTCGGTGTAAAGGCCTCAGACGAAGCTGCCATGAAGATGCATGCAGATGCTCGCTTTACGGGTCACCACTAAATAAGGCAAACATGTACTTCGAAAGCTGTAACTGTGTCAGCTCCTGCAGATCCTCACACGAACATTTAGCGCCGTGTACACAACTAGGCTCCTGAAGGTGGCGTGTTGTACTTCTGTGTCTGGATTAGCCTTTTTACTTGAGGTGCGAGCATAATGAGGTCACACACTTATTGTTAGAGCTAACCTGCCTTTTGCCATAGTGCCTGCAGGAAAAACCTTGTTTTTGTCTTGGGTTCTGTCCCATGGGATGAGTTCGGAAATATTCTTCGTAAATTTACTTATCGATCGTGAAACAGCACTAGCTGGAATGGATGCCAAAATCACGTATTTCATTATGGGCATCCTGTACTACAAAACCTGAGCGGACGGTCCTGGCTGTCACAGAGATAGGCTTGTGGTTAAATGCAGTCCTCGCTTGCTTCTTCCCACCGGCAGAAAATTTGGGTGTGCGAAGAAGGGGCACAATATAATTCACAGAAGCTCGGTGGCAAGCATAGATGGAGCCTGGTGCCCTGCTGCCACTGAAGGCGTAGGGAAAGCTGGGAAACTTTCTCTTACTGTTTTGCGGGTTTTCTAGTCAACTACTGGAGGCTCTACAGCGCATGGCCTTGCACAGAATCGTTTGCTTTGATAATGCATATTCCCTGATTTTGGGCTAGCTCTTGATGAAGTGTGGCATCCTTTCATGGGTTTTCTCAAGAGTCAATTTGGCTCGTTGTTCAAAGAAACAAGCCGCCATGTGCCAATGGTCCTGCTTTTCTAGGGGATGGTGCATCGGTGTGAAAGAGTCTTGAGTAAGGGGACAAATTGCCCGTAACTGCACTACCCTCTGTTGTTCAAGTGTCTGCGAGAAGTAAACTTGCACTAGATACGGTTACCATGGCATCCACCTCGTTACCTGCAAGCGCCAAGCGCTGCGCCTATAATTTTATGGTCATCCTAGCAAACGGCTCAGTCCAAAGTTATGCAGTGGAACAGATTTTGTTTTATTCCTCTTCCATATAGCCTAACGCTGCTGTCAATTTGACATCCGCTGTGCGGAAAAGCATGCACACGTGTACTTCGTCTTGAATGTGTAACACAGTTCCGCAACTTTTGCAACGCTGAATTGGCCGAGCGTATCAGTAGAAGTCGAACTTCACTCTTTAAACTAACCTCTTTAAACTAACTACAATGTTTAGCTGTCGCGAGGGTGCTGCTGCCTTCGCCCGCTCTCATCTGTGATACGGAGATTCTGACACGCTAAGCTGAGGTGGGGTTTACGCTTCACAGCAAGTTAATCAATTCAAAATAAGTCTACTATTAGTGCATGCGCCTGAATTCACGCCTATATCTTTGGTCTCTGTTGCAAGCATTACTTATCCTGGGGAGCCCAGCTTGTGGTTCTTGCAGCAGGCACCCGCTTTGTGCTTGTGCCTGGAACCGGCTTTTGCTCCCAAAGTAATATGAAAAATTGCCTGAAAGATGCTTAGAGACAACCCTCAGTATCTGTGTGGATTTCACTGGCAGAACAGATGTAATGACGATGAAGAAGCAGTGTAGGCGTGTCGGTGTCTGAAGACAGCATGTGTTTCTGAAGGCATTGTAGTTTGATTTTGCCCATTTTAACTTCGTACTATTGATACCTGCTACGCCAACTTGTCCATTAGAGGAGATAATGCCGTGTTTTAGAGTAGGACACTGCCAATGACTGAATGGGCTGGGGCTCCGAGGCCGCCAACGCCCAGCCGCCCGCCGGCTCCTCCGTGTCGCCTGCGTCCAGTTGAGGGCATTTGCAACTTAACAATTTTAATGGCCACTCTTTAGATCCCATTTACGGAGCCTTCGAGCACATTAGCAAGTTGAAGGACCAGTTTATTCTGCCCTACGGGGATAGCTGCATGTGCAGGGGCGTCCATCCTCTGGGCCCCTGGTGGACGAAGCGCTCGCCCTCTCGGTGGCTATACATTTCAAGAAATTAGGAGGCTTTAAGAGCGTCTCTTAAAGAGTCACGGCTGAAACACCACGAAGCGCAGGGAGGGCTTGACGGGGGGTAGCATCAGTGCCCACTTGCGGCAGTGAAACAGGGTTCGCGTCACTGCTATTAGGCGAAAGTATAAGGTTGCGTGCCTACCAGGTCCTACGGCACGTGCCTCTGACTTAGAAATTGAGTGCGCAGCGGTTTTTATGCACTTCGAGACAGCTTGGCTACCCGCATGGCAAGCGCATCGGTGTTCCATCAAGCTTCTCGTCTCGTGACGTCCTGATTCGACGTGGTCTGCGCACATGCGATGGTTCGTCTTTCTCTTCTGCAGCCGTATAAGAGCTTTCGGTGGGCGAATTTGTCTGCGCTTCGGTTTCTGTCGCATCCAGCCGACAGATTCTCCGTCAGGTCTTTAGGTAGCTTCCGAGGTGCCACCATAGGTCATTCAGCAGAGCAAAGGAGCTAAGGCCAAAAACTGTGTGCCGATTTCATTTCTCCCGACGTATGGCTTTGGGGATGGAGGAAGAACGTTGCAGCATCGGGGCTATCCGTGCAGAGATCACGGAGGTGCCTCTGGTGCCGACAGCGCATGCTGCTAGCCAGCATCCAGCGGATCATGTAGACCCAGTTATTGCTTCGGACTCGAAAGGATCTCAAGAAGACCAGAAAAACTTTGAATCTTCGCTGTCCCAAGAGAAGAAACAGCAAGACAACGGCAAGGAAGCGCAGGGAGGCGGCTCCCCCGCAACTACACTGCAAGAACAGGTACCTGCGGTACCTATGGACTCCGAGGCCAAGCAGGACAGTGGAACCCGAACGGCCAGCCAAGTGGGCTGTTTTGGATCAGGGACTGAGGCGATTGCAGCCACATCGGGGGACACGGCAATGGATGTTGAAGGGGATGCGGGGGACGGCGCCACTCCACCTGAGTCATCGGATATGGGGTCTCTGCCTAACGGAACGGCAGAGGCAGCAACGGATATTGCTACTGTAGAAGCAGACGCCGTGGCAACCGAAACGGGCGATATGGGCGCTGTTGCGATGGACGAGGTAGGAGACACGGTGGAGGCGGAGAGCGACGGCAAAGAGAGCAATGACAGCGTTTGTAATGAATGCGGTGGTGGTGGCGAAGTTGTGTGTTGTGATGGATGTGTTAAGTCGTACCATACAGACTGTCTGCCTGTGGTCGCAAGGCCGCGACTTCGAGCAAGTGCAGATGATTGGTTTTGCCCAGAGTGCACTGCAGCCAACGCAGCGCCCCCTCCAACGGCCGCTGTTTCGTCAACTGCTTCCGCCAAGCTACCTCAAGCGCCGTCAGACCACCGTAGTTCGAGGCAGAGCACTGCTGTAGCCCCTCCTCCGGTGTGTCCTCCTTCCGCCCCAACCGCTCACTGGTCCTCTGTGCCATCTTGCGTCCCTTCAAGGCGTAGAAAGGCGAAAGTGACGGAAGACTATGAGACCAGAATAAACGTGGGGCCAAACCACCAGGTCAGTCAGCTATTTGGCTAGGTTACGCAGCTCAGGGCCGCCATCACCGCTCCACAATTTCACTGACATGCGGCAACTTCGCAGAAGGCTCTAGAATCATGAAATTCCTGCAAGATGAGACTTCCTGAGCGGCGGGGTAACAGCGAAGCACAACATGTCGTCTGCATCTCAGGTGCCGCATCTGCCGGATTTTTTTTTGGCTCGGGGAGATAGTGACTGTTTGTCCACGCTTGCTGAACACTCGCTTAACGATGGCGCACAAAGTCAGGCACTGGGGCCGCTGCTTGTCTATTCGCCCTACCTAATGGAGCGTTCAAAACAGCAATGCCTGGCAGAAAGAGCGACGAAGTCATGCATCACGTCACAGAAGGATCTGGCGGAGTTTCTAATCAAGTTAGCGCCACATTTCTTTGTCGCAAAGTTTCGAAACCTCACCGAGAGAGTTGAGGACGCATTTCTGCATGCGCCGCGCTCGTTCTCGTTAGCAGAGCTAACAAAGCTGCAGGTTCGACTTACTGTCCTGTTGCAGGTGCTCAAAGAGGTGGAAGGTTCGCCCTGGATGGCAGCCATTCTCCCCAGAATTTGCTTACAAGCTACTACATCGTGCAAACTACGACCCCGAGAGAGCTTTGAGAATGATGGACGACTCCGCATTTTGGTGAATCGGATTGCACTTAACTCATGTGTTCAACTCTTCATGAGATGAATCAACTGTGTAATTTGCTGGACATCAGCCTACATAGCACCAGGTAGCCACATGAGTTTCGAACTACCTGTGAGGTGGGGGGTCTACATCAGAAAGCGTTGCACCATGCAAGCGTGTCGATGTGCATTTGCTCCTATCAGTAGGGAACACTCTTCCGGGGAGCAATGCAGCTTAAATTTTTCTTTTATTTAAGCGGTGAGGTGTGTTGTGTTTTCAGCTTCCAAAGCGTCTGCGATCCTCCACTACGAAAGTACGAAAACAAATGGAAGCGAAGGGACAAGCGGGGGACGTTCCCGAGCTCGCCATATCCTCCCCCAGTGGTGGTGCGTGGCTATTTGAATGAGAAGCAGAAGCAGTTGCGTATGGGCCGATGAAAACAACGAAAATGAGTCTCGACGGAGTGACGCCGTGAATGGTGGGCGGATTCAAAATATCAGATCGGCGCTGTAGCTGTAACCGCAGTGTGGCACCAGGGGAGCAGTGGAGGACCGTTTTATTTTACGAGACCAGCTTTTAAGCGGGTAGTCCCCCGCCGTCGTAGGAAGTAGACTTTTCAATCTCAGAGGCGTCTGATGCGGAAGCGCTCATGGAACAGCGCTACATGCAGCTTGGCGTTAGGTTGTCTGCTAGCACTCTGCCGGCCCACCGTGCAAACCACGCGACACTGGCCACTTGATTTTGCTTGTGTTTTCACGCTACCAACCTCTAGCAAAAAGGCTCTCCAGTGTCTCACCCCTCGGCTTAGCTCTAGCAGCCGGTTGCCGCACACACTTTCCCGCTAGGGATTCGCGCGGTGACTACTTAGGGAGCACTCCATTTTCTCGAAGTTATTGGCTTTGGGCGAAATAATTGATTCACCTATGTCAAGCTCTCATGCTCAACCCGAACACTCAAACCCAAAAAACTTAAACTCGCACTAGTGTGCCTAAGCATCTTAGCAAGTCTTCCCAGCAATTGGCCGTTTCGAACGGCTTCTGAAGCAGCAGTAACAGGACTAGATCAAACAATGTTTGTGAAAAAGCGACCTTTGTAGGCACCCAAATGGGCTCCACATCAGGCGTTTTGACTGCCACCAGCTGTTAAGCGCGCGCCCTTAGAAGAGGCGGAACTGTTTGCGCACGTTACCAAATACTTGATTGCTCTCGACTTTCAGCACGTTAAAGCGAATCGTCTTCGAGAGGGGCCTGCGCGCACGCACATCAAAAAGCCATTAGACGCAAATGGCCAACACAATTTGGGAGCATGCGTGCACTACACGCTGATGCAGGGACGTTCAATGGAACTAGACAACAGACATAACCCACCTGCACTGCCCAGCAGTGACAATGTCGCCTTCCTTGACTTGCTCGAAGCAGGGGGAAAGGTGGCATGTCACGTTCTTATGGCGCTTCTCCACACGGGAGTACTTCCTGACGAAGTGCAGGTATGTGCGACGGATGACCACGCAGCGCTTCATTTTGGCGGAAATCACCATACCCCTGTAAATCATGAAGCGGAGAACTCAGCCAATTTCAAAATACAACAATACGCCACAAATTCTTCTGAGACACCGCAACTACAGTAACCTAAATAACCGGAGTGGTAACAAACGTGCACTCTCACCGCAAACTACCTCACTAGTAATATGCTTTGACTGCAAAACGAGCCGCAACTATGCCTCCAACTATGCAAAAATAGGCAGAGTATGCAGCGCTCACTTGATGATGCGGCCACGAATCGAGACGTTGCCAGTGAATGGGCATTTCTTATCAACGTAGGTGCCTTCCTTTGCAAGACGAGGCGTGGCAAAACCTAAGCCTACCTCCTGAGGGCCAAGCAATTCCACACAGCAGTAAAAGGGAGTAGCCAATCGGAAAATTTCTAGTAGTTGCTTGCTACGTTGTTGTAGGAGAAGCACCCTCATGTCCAATCAAGTGCTAATCAAGTGCTTACGACAAGCGCCTACCCTCCAGTATCTCGCCTTTCCCCTTTTCTTCGAAGACTGGGCCAATGCCAGCTGAGACGCCCCATGCTGGCGCTGAAAAGCCTTCTCTGTCTGCATCCAGGAACACAACACAAACATGTTGAGGCAACACTGTCCGCCGCCCAGTATCCTTCGTTGGTGTGACTAACAGTGCAGCGCCTTAAGCCCGTGCACCATCTGATCATTGATGATACTCAACGAATTACTACAAGACGCGCCGTAGATGTGCCGGGATTCTCCACCCATAAGCTCGAAATGCAACGATCATGCTCTGGAGTGAGAAAACCAATGACTCCACTTCAAAAGCACAGTCACGACTTCGCATCTAGAACAAACGCCACAACAATTATAAATGCAGATAATTCGTCAACGATGGCCACATAAAAACTACATTGAGGCGTTTCGCCATTTCTCTTAAGCCCCTTGGCGGCCTCTGCTTCGACAATATCGGCTGCGGTACACAGGATATGCGCTAAACCCAGAAGTCAGGGCCTAATGAAGAGCATCTCCGATGTTTTCCAAAAGGTTAAAGGGCGAACTGGCCAAAATGCAGCGACTCCACGAAGCCTCGAGAGGGGCATAGCCTAGATTGAACGCACCTGCACATCCTGCTGTGTTGCCGACATCGTCTGCTGCACAAATTCAGTCTATTCCTGGTAGCTGAGCCCAGCTTGAACCAATACCAAACGAAAACAACGGCAACTTCCAAGATCCCACAGTCTCACTTCCAACCTGTGTTGTGGCAGCCCCCACAGCCTGGGGTGCGCTATGCAGCCCCAAGCCAGAATACGTATGACATGCGCCGGTATGATGTGCCGAGGCACTTGACTTCTCGAAATAGTGGTCTGAGGCAACTGGGCAATACGGGAGGGAGATTGCATTCCCAAAAGAAAATTGGATTCCCGCGGCTGTACTCGAAGCGTGGTATCCGGCTGCCGTTGGTATCTCCGAAGCGGATCTACCGTTTTCGATACCGTTTTCGTACGGGCACTAAACTGCACTGTGTAATTCACAGTCAATGCTTTGACATAATCAGAGTGCCTGACAACGATTTTTGTAAATGTTTCTACTACGAATTTAGCGACTAAATCGAAGAAGACGCATCATGAAAAAGTGCCGCGGGGAGCAAGCGCATGAACAGTGGTTCGTGGAGCTGCTGCAGCATGTTGAATAAATCAAGTTTAAAATTTTACCCTGCCTCATTCGAACGCGATGCTTGAGTGCAGAGGCGGACTCAAGGCCAGCGAAACAAAACTAAGGTTCAGCACAGGTAGCATCCGAGAGCGTGAAGAGGAGCATCAGTAAATAGTAGCCTTGCCCTCAAAAAAACGCGTCCCACCGGACACAGAATCAGATTCCTTAAAATGAAGACAGATACAGCTAGGGAGAAAAAGGCACACGCAGCACCAGAACGAAATGCCTCTGCTCACGACAGCTCAATGCCAAGCGACGGAGAGCAAACTGAACCTCGTTAAGAAACCGAGTCGTTTGGCCCTATCTCATTGCATGCAAAGATCTGAATAACCATGGATGGTCGGGCAGTCAAATGACTCCACGAGCCTGAGCGGTGGCAACACAAGCTTCCCTGGCGGATCGCAACATGACGACGTACTATAGAGCAGTCTACACGATGGTAGACCATGCTCACCAAGCTGCAGCCGCTAGAGTAGCACGCAACCTCACGCGCTCAGCACGCCCTTGGAAGAACTAGACTTATACGCCTTGGCGAGCTCCATCAAGCTGGTTTTGGCACTATGGTGTAGAAACGCATTAAATACCAATTGAGTTACTTAGTGTAACACAACAACTCTCCTCATCTGGACTTCAGTGGCTCCTGGCCTTGAGGATTTGCTTCCCTAGCATATCGTTGAAAAGATAGGATGCGGAAAGACCTAGTTATTCAGAGTGGCACGCCAAAAACGATATTTCTACAGTCGAATATTTGCTGTTTTATCAAGAGACGCCTTGACCACGATGCGAAATCCTCGTTTTTTACCTTGAAGAGGATCACTGCATACAGTTCAGTTTCTTACTAAACTATTTAAGTGCAGCAATGCACGAGCGCAAACAAAAAGGATAGCTACACGAGCACCAGCTGCTGCTGCGGCTTTGGCTCCCTCGAGCATAGCAATTCATCAGCAACCGCTGCAGCAGCAGCTTTAGATACTGCTGCGAATACTGATGCAGATGATGCCTCTGGCCGAGATACAGCTGCTGCTGCAGCATCGTCGATGCAGCAAAGACAGCTCATGGCCTTCAAGTAAATGGCGTCTCACTGCGACGCGAACTACTCCCTCTGCTACTTCGTGCATTTGAGACCCCGCACATGCTTTTTGGGAGTGCTTTTGCGTGCGTTTTGCTGAAGGTGTTGAAGATCACGGAACTGCGTGGGCCCTCAGAAACCTTCAGAGAAACCCCATCATTGGCTGGCAAACACAACGATGCTTTTGCTGCTCTGTATTCTTCTTGCTGAAGGAAAAAAAGCACCAAAGAGAGCAAGCAACAAACGCAGAGTAAGCTGCCACAGTTGAGCTCTGGGCACACCGTATCGGCTTGCCGACGCTTTTACTCCAGCAGTCTCCTGTATCGTTGACGACAGAAGCAGCAATGGCAGCGGTAGTGCAGCAAGAATGCAACAGCAGAAGGAAGAAGCAACGCAGTTGGAGCCTATGCCATGTTGAATACCTGCTGTCTCATCGGCACCTGCATTTCACTGCCTGCGTCATTGCTGTGCAAAATGCTGTCTGTGTAAGCTCAATTTCTGTTGATTTTGCATCTGCAGCTCCCTTTCGTTTTACCGCTGCGTGTGCCTCTTTGACCGTTCCTTTTTGTTCCCTTGCCTGCCTTTCAACTTATCTCTTTCTCTATCATTTGCTGTTGCTGCCTGTGTGTTTTTCTTCATTTGATTTTGTCTGTATCATGTTGTACTCTGCCAGGGAAGCTTGTGCTGCCGCTGCTTTGGTTCTGGGAGTCATTTGATGGTCCGACCATCCACGGCCATTCCAGTTAGGAACGTTGAGCACGGTACTGCTGATTTCGTTGTTGCTAATCCTACAAGGGCTTTTAATATTGCTTCTGCTGCCTGTAGTGCTACTACTACTGGTGGTAGTGCTGTTACTACTGGTGCTGCTGCCGCCACTGACGCTGCTACCGTTGCTGCTGCGTGTTGGTGGCTGCTTACAAGCTTTTGTGTGTCTAGCTGCGCATCTACAACCGCTTGAGGCTGGTAGTCTGGCCTGAATGGCCTCTGCATGCGCCGTTGCTCTTGCTTATGATGCTTTGTGGCATCGACCAACGGCGACGCCTCCGCCCATAACGCAGACCCCAAGACCCTCATCCAAGCTGCTGCCTTGAGAGCTGTTCATACAACCAAACCAGATTCTTGCATGACTTAATCGCATGCGAGGCTCAGTTCACTCCTAGGCGCTTGCCTGTATTCGAGCTGTCACGAACAGCTGTGTGTTCAGACTGGCGGTGTCTGTCCTTAACTATCACTGTCCTTGTCTCAACGGGTCTTTTTCTGTATCTGTCTTCATGTGCGTCTCTAGGCTTTTCCTGCATCTGCCGCTAGATATAGTTTTGTGTCTTGCTGCAGGGCATGAGTTGTTCTATCCTAGCGTACAATTAGCTTCTTTGGTGCCAAACATATTTTTGAGGTTCGTAAGGGCGGCTTCTCTGTCCATAACCTGACAAAGATACATTAGCCCTATACAGCCCAAGAATGTGAACTCAACAATCTGTCTAGAAGCACTTAGACGCAACAAATATCAGTGACACCTTGATAAAAACAACTTTGCCAGCCTCCTAATACACTCTGCACATACACACAGGCATGCATGTTTCTTCGAATACATCATTGTCCAATGAAACTCATGCAGATATTAGTTCTACTTTGACCTGGCAAAGATACATCAAGGCATCATCGTAGCGAATAAATCCCCTGTGCGAGCCAGGAGGAACCATGAGGCGATATAAGACGTAATGCTGCAGCAACTGCGCCTCGCGAGCCAAACCCATTCTCTTCCCTCGGGCGTATAGACACAAAAAGTCCAGAAGATCTAGATTGCCATCCCCGTCAGAGTCCGCCTCCCTGAAGGCACAGACTAACACTGACTAGTGCAACTGGTGCAAAACCAGCTGCAGTACAAGAACGACTCAGCGGTGGTTATTGAAACACGAGTTTGAGAGCAAAAGGCAGCTGCGTTCACCGCAGCAATAGTATGGCCGACTGCAGCGCCCTCAAGTGCTGCAGCAGAACCGGCAGCATTAGTAACGCTAACACACAACGCAGCACCTATATCAGCGTCTACACCGGGCGCTGCGGCAACGGCAGCAGCAGTTGCTGAAATGACAATAAAATGGCAGCTGTCCGAATGTCTTTAGAACTAATTTCGAAAGCTGCCAGCTACCCCATGGATTAGGGGTCTGGCATGCTGCGTTGTGTTTAGTTGATCTTGCCCTAACTTGATTGTTTTGAGAGAGGAGGAATTGATCTCACAGTCTACCATAGTCTCTACGGCTGGTGGTTGAATAGATTCTACCTGTACTACTGCTGCAGCTGCCATTGCTATTATGTCCCTTGGGGAAGCGTTACAAGAGCTACTGAAACAGCTGCTGCTAATGCAGGCGCAGCGGCCGTTGATATTGGTCATTCCAGAAACGCCGTTGGTATTGCTCCTGCTTGGACAGAAGAGAACTGTCGGTACCTCACCACACACATTCCTGAAGTTGCGCAAGGGGCAGCACTATGCCATCTTGACGCATTTCTCTGGCTATGTCGCGGGCATCAAGTCGCCCGTCTTTGTCTCGGTCAAATTCATTGAAGAGCAGTCGTAGGCGAGCTATCTCAGCCGGCAGCAACTGTGAGGTCAGCCAAACGCCTGCTTCCTCAGGCAGCATTTGAGCGGGGACACCGGAGCGCCGCGGCATTGTTAACTAACAGAAAAAAAGATGCAAGAGAGGAGCCCACGGGTCTTCCACAGACTTTAATACTGATTGTTGTGGAATGCGAAAAAGCAAAGTTGGTAGCAGTAACAAGCTTCAGTATAACACGAGCTGGAGCTGCGCGGCAAAGCGTCGCTGGATGGAGACAGTGGGTTGAGGCAGCAGCAGCAAGCGCCGAGTCGACAATAGATTGGGAATGAAAGGCGAAGTACAAGATCCGATAAAAAGGTAAAAGAAGCGCACAAATTGATGCAGAGATAATCCCACAGGGTTGAGTCGCGATTCAGGTGCAACGCCGAGTTACTGTGCGTCCCTCTGGCCCTATGACTTTTCGTCGATATCTCCACAGCATATGTAAAAAAAAAACAATATAAAAAAGAGTATAAAGGGGTTAAAAAATGAATGGCCGGACCTAAGGATTCCGGATGAACGCTGCAAAGAAGGGCTCATCGAATCAAATACAGCCAGAGCCATGTGGTGGGCTTCCGGGGGTCACTTGAAGGTGCTCTTCTTGGCCGGAGTACAACGACGATGTTCGAGTTCAAGAAGAGTTCACCAGTGCAACAGACATTATGTGCTAGATTTCATTTATTCTCAAGAAGAAATGGCTGCCGAGCCAAGATTTCGGGGCACACTACTGCGGTCGACCCTGTCGCCTTGCCTTATCAGGAGAGTGATCGTCTGCCCCCGGTAATATCGTAACCGACCGATTTCGGCTTCTATGGAATGTGACACTTATTGAAATACTTTTCTGGGATATTCATCCAGTCGCGCAAAAGCCAGCCCACCGAACGACAAGCAAACTGACCTCGGAAGGATGGTAGATTAGGAGGCCACAAGGGGGCAAGTGCGCAAATGCTGGCCCCGGGAATTGACAATTTTATGCGGTGAGAATACGTTACTCTTAGAAAATAAGGATAGGCCGCGAAACCGTCTTTGCATTCCCGTCAAACAGTAGCCGCCGGATATCAAAGGACATTTCATTTCTGTATATCGGCAAGCACTGCCTTTCAGAAGTAGTCACTTCCCAACGGAAGGCCGGAAGAGAGCCTATGCTCCTACAGGTTTGTCCAGTACAGATTTGGAACGACTCCCTTGGGAGACGGTAACTGCTATACAGTAGGCTGTCGCTCCCTAAAACACTAAATGAGAGTAACATTGCCACGCAATAGGCTGTCATTCCCCGCGCAACTAACTGCGATGCTCTTCTTGGTCACCCAAGGCCTCGTGCCCAAAGCAGTATTGATTATTTTGGCCAACCTGCCCAACGGTAGGAAAATTGAACTTGGGGAAAAGATTTGGAAAGGATAGCTCAGGAGAGCAACACTTCCATGCAGTGGGCCATTACTCCTCCCGGGAAGTACGAATACGACACGTCATCTGGGAGCTTGACACTGTTTACTGTTGTCCGACTGGAAATATTGTTCAGGGTTTTCGTCTTCATTTTGGGGGGCATACTACTGGGGCAGGCCACTGACCCCAATATCCGCTTCATTGCACGATGCCGAGATGATTAGTTCATCTATGAATTGAGGAAGAGAAGCTTAACAGGCCTTGTCCATCGACTAATTTTCGCTTAATTGCCCAGACGGCTGATTCCCAAAACTAGTAGAGATAAAATTAGGCCAGCTTAAAGCGACTCCATGCAGCGTTGCTTTCCACAACCAATCCCAACTGACTGTGCCTTGGCAGAAGAGTAACCGCAAGCTGCCACCGTACGAGTGGCGTGGACGACTTTTGCCCCGGTCTTGCAGGCTTTGCAGTGGTTTGTTGCAGGGAAGCATACACTGAAATAACCTACCTCGTGAAAAGGGCAGCCACAAAGCGATAAAAGACCCTGACACTGTGCCTGCCGTCGCTTCGAGCAAATGTAGATCTGCTGTGCAGTTCTACAGCTGAAACCCTAAATCATACGTTTTCCTTTGTTTTTAAGTTTAGCCGCTTCCCACGTTTAGGCTGCTGCTCATCATGCCTGCACCTGCTTACGTTTGAATGCATAAGATTCCTTCGTTTCCTATGCTTGCTCATGGGCTGCTATGCGCCCCATCAGCCAGCTTAGGAAACACCTGGATATACTAAACAAACGCTGCAAAGAAGCCGGAGTTACCCTAAGTCCGTCTAGCTGCCCATCCTGCGGCTGCATTCACACAAAAATATGTCAGGTAACATGCGGCTAAGGATCTTGTGCCTCAATGCAAATAGATGACCTGAAGACCCCACCATAAATGCAACACCAATTACAGCCGCAACCGTTGCTGTTCCCAGTGCTGCTACTGCAGTCACAACGACTTCCAGCTGATGAATTTACTGCTTCCAAGTACATTGGGCAATAATGTTATCTTGCACCAGAGCAGCTGCACAGGAAAACCAGAACGAAGCTAATACGCACCGTACCCTCCAGGCAACACTTCCGCAGTCTCAGTAGCAGTCGCAGCAGTAGCAGCATGTGGAAGCTAGGTAAGAATACTGGTACACCGGGGGAGTCCTGAAAGGCTACGGCCAAGAGAACCCTCCCCCAACATTTGCCGCAAACAGTGGCGATAGCCCACTCCGTAAATTTCGTCTGGAGAGACCGCAAGCTTCCACAGCTGATATCGCAGCAGCTCCTCCCCAAGCTGCTGTTCTTGCTGCATTGTGCTGCTGCTAGTGCAAAGCCTGGTCGTCGCCTTGCTGCTGTTGGCCGAGTTGTTACTACTGTTGTTTCTGCTTCTGCTGCTGCCACTGTTAAGGCTTTTAAGGGCTGCAGCCAAAGCCCTCGCTGCTGCGACGTTGCACCAGCCCTCCTCGATTTGTTTGGAACCAGGAATAAACTGATTTATAGCGATAAAAGCATGCAGCAGCTCGTGTGCCCCATGCTGCTGCAAAAGAAGAGCCGGGAGACCTCTGACGAGACGAATGCATTTAGCAAAACGGAGCTGAAGGAAGTGATGCACCTGCTCCTGCTGTTGTCTCTGCTCTTTGCTGTCTAGTCGCCTAGTGCTGCCGAAATTAATAGAGCTCAGCATTTTGCTCAAACGTCGAGCCTCACGAAGAGGGCCCCACACGCGCTCCTGCTGCTGTTGCCGAGGCTTCACCTGCAGTGAATGCTGCCGCCGCTGCAGCAACTGTAGTTGCTGCTGCTGATGCAGAGAAGGAAGCGACGCAGCCCCTGTGACTTCTGCGGCAAGCAAAACCAGAGAAAGAGGAGCAGGGCGAACCTTTAGCTGAAGCACTTCGCAGCTGCCAAAAAGGTGAGAGCTGCCATTGCCACCAGGCGACGCCCCGCGGCCAACAACAGGACTGAAGCGAGCCCTAGCGCCAGTTAACAACCCAAAATCTTCGAGAATCACTGGGAGTGGAAGGTCAGACAGATAAGTAACTCTTGGCTGTCTTGCCACTGCAGCGGGAGTTGCAGAGATGGCACTAGGATCCGGTCTCTTCGCCCCTATATTTTTTTCGGCCCGCCGTTCATGTTGTTCCTCGTTGCGCATCTTATCGAAATCAAGCAGCTGCTGCTGTAACCGCCTCATTGAGCTTGAAAAACGAATTCCGTCCTCCTCAAGGGCCAACAAGGCGCGTCGTACCGCTGCAGCTGCGGTTTCATCAGTATCGGCGGCCGGCAAGCAGGCGCAGCGACCACACAAGACCGCAGCTGCAGCAGTGGTATCAGCAGCAGCAGTTGTAGCTGTTGCCGGTCGCCTGCATGACGTATAAGGCAAACGAAATTTGCGCATCACCGCTTCCCCTGCTGGATTGAGAACTCTGGGAAGAGTTTTTCGCTCCCCATCAGGGTGTACATACACCGCAGCTCTTCGGTCACAACAGAGACACTTGGGGTATCTCTTGCTACAGTCCAAACAGCAGCAGCCTCCATGAGCTGCGGTGGAACCAACGTGGGGCTCCGCAGCAGCAGCGGCAGCAGCATCAACCTGCAACGCCGTCACCAGGGGCTGTTGCCGCAGCAGCTGCGTAGACGAGAAGAATGCATGCGATTCAAAGCGCCCCACAAGGGGTTTGAGACAGCAACAGCAACAAAAGCAGCTGCTGTGTTGTACCCCTCCCGATCCATCTATGACGAAAACGCCGCCCTCCAGCGTTTGCCCACAGGTGCTGCAGCTTGTACACCGTGCGTGCTGAATTCTGTCTTGTTCATTGCCCTTAGCTGCTCCTGCTTCTTGTCCCTTCAGTGTTGTTTGTGGTGTCGTTTGCCTATTCATTGATGTTATAGTTTTCGCCTCAGGCTTTGTTAACGTGACGTACTGCTCAGAGGGTTGTACCACATCTCCACACACAGTACACCTCCGTTCTTTGCATGCAGCGTGATATATCCCAGAGGCGATGGCCTTATTCCAAGGGGCGCCCGCCGCAATCGCCATACGTGCTGCTGTATGGTCGTAAAGAAGCCTTCCAGAAGCAGCAGCAATGGGAAGTCCGCAAGCATTGCAGCGCATGCAGGAGATGTGACAACGCACAATGGCTGCGTGGTCCTCAGCAATAGCACCCGGAGCTGTTCGTGTTCTCGCCTTTGTTGTTGCTGTGGTTGACTCTGTCCTCGTTGATGCAGGTGTCTGTGATAGAAGCCGGTGCTGCCGCAGCTGCAGCTGCCTGTAACGTTCATTGGACCGGGGGCTCAGCGGCAGAGAAACAGCGGCGAAGGACTGACCCCGACAAACTGGAGCACCGCAGATGCCACAACAGTCCTCCTTACATGCAAGAGAATCTAGTGGCACCTTCTGCCGCTGCTGTCGCTGCGCCTCAAGAAGGACGCGACCCTTCGGGCCACCAGAGGGGAGACACGAATGACACCCTACGCTTTCTTTTTCCAATGCCCCGGCGAATTTTTCTCTTGCACCTGCTGGCTTGGCTGATGAAGGCTTTCCCGTGAAGGTTCCTGTAGCAACTCTTGCTGCTGCCTTTGTTGCTGCCCTTGAGGCTCCTACGGCTATTCCTTCGGCCGACGCACGATGCAGCTGAGACAAGGGCTTCGAACTTGGGTGGCTTCCCACGCCACCGGCGGAGAGACGCGAATAGCACCCCACTCTTTCTTTTTTCGATGCCCCCATGGTTGATCCCCCTACACCTGCCGCTTTGGAGGATGAGGGTCTTTCTTTGGCGGTTCCTGCAGCTGCTGTTGCCCTTGCTGTGGCTTTGGGGGTCGCCGTTGCTGCTATGCGTCTTGGTGCATGCGGTAATTTCAACGAGGGCGTCGACCCCAAAGCACCAGAAACGGCACCATCCCCATTCGCACGTGACAGTGCAGCCAAGCCAGCGGGTGCTCTTCTGTTGCTGCTCTTGCTGTTGTTTGTGCACTTGTTGCTGCCAGTGTTGCTCCTGCTGCTGCGAGGTCCTGGGCCGGCCCTTGGCCTTTGCAGCCTCTGCTGCTCGTGGGACATTCCGTTAATATAAATCCCGACGAATGGCACAACTTGCCGGCGTCTGAACGGTGCTAGCGGCTGGCGGCCGAGGTAGCTTGCTAGCTAGGCTGCTCAAGCTAGCATACAGATGACATCGTCAATATTGAGCAGGAACGCTGTATCACCTGCTGCAGTTGCCTACATCATGCTTTTTTTCAGGCGTAAAAGTAGCAGCAGCAACGGCAGCGGGAATGCGACTCGAAGTGCTGCTGCTACACTTTGCAGTGGATGAGCTGCTGCTGATGCTGCTTCTGCTGTTGCAGCTGTTTGCGAAATAATGCCTTTATAGACTAACTCAATTAAATGTGTAAAAATGCACTTCGTATTGCTGCAATGAGAACACGGCGTTACGAAAGCTCGCCCGAAGCATGCAGGGTTCGACCGCCGCAGCGGCAGCTACAGCAGCGGCTGTTGCCTCGTCCGTAACCGCTTCCAACAAATTCACTATGTCTTCTTCTCCTCTTAGTGCGAACAATTCGTTGTAATTATGGAGTTTTGCTTTAAATAGCACCTAGGGGTGCTTCTGCGGCTGCCACTGGGACAGCTTCGGCAGCAGCAGAGCCATCCACTGTTAATCTTTTCCTAGCTCCCTATGCGGTTAAAGAGTTTTATTACGCCACATTTATGGCATATTAAATTACTGTACTTCTTCAGTCCTCCAGATCGTCTGAGCAGCGTGTACGTTGGTGCAGCCGCCTACCGGTATCCGTTCGGGAGGCTTGCTGAGCCTGGTCTTATTCCCCCAGCAGCTGAGACAACAGGCAGTACCAACAAGCGATAGATCTCAGCACTGCTTTCTCAAGACACGAGAGATTTGCCCACCTCATTCTGCCAGCAGCGACACTCCACTCCAAAGAGTGAGGCTGGGAAGCTGCTGCTGCCATCAGAGGCGCTGCAGCGACAGGCCGCCGCAGCGGCTATCACCATCAGGAAATTGCTGAATCATATATGCAGCTGGGGTAGCCTTCAACAGCACGGCACCGGGGGTGCAACGGGCAGGAGCATTAAACTGTTGTGGTGACAATGGCAACGAAAATGAAGCGTTTCCTGGCCCCTGGCCCAGGAACCGCAGGGGCTGCAGGAGAAGAGCCTGCGTATTCTTTGAATGACAAAAGCAGGAACAGTGGCGTTCCTAGGGGCGACGCTCCTAGACCTGTCATGAAAACTACTGACCACAAGGGCGGCCTCCTTGACGTGGTGGAGGATCAACCGCAGCAAACTGCAGCATTGGCGCCAGTAGCAGCAGCCAATTTGGCAGCAGGAGAATTAACAGTGACAGCAGCACGGGAGGAGGCGGAAGCGACAGGTTTAGTGCGCAATTTCACTGTTTCCCAGGAAATGTACGGATGGGGAGGCTTTTTCTCTCGCGAGGCTTTAAAACAAAGATCGGACAAACCCAAGGAGACTACACAGGCAATGAAAGACTCTCTTAAGGTAGCCTGAAAACGCACCAGCAAAGGCAGTAGTGCAGGCAGGATCGGCAGTGGCATTAGCAGCCGCCTCACTCGGTACAGCTGTTGCTACTGTTGCGGCCACTGTTATGTGCCTAGCTTTGCACCGTGCGCTGATGCTCCATTAGTTGATTCTCCTGCCCGTGTTGCTGCTGGGGAGCGGCAGGATGCTGAAGGGTGCTCTGTGGAATTCTTGCAGTCCGTTGCTAGTCATCAGAAGCCTTATGTCTCTGGTGCGTTCGTTCGTGTCTGTTAAAACTGACATTGGCTCTTGCTCTTACTGCCACTTCTGCTGGTATGCTTGATGCAGCTAGGGGTGCGCCTGCTACCATTTGGACTGCAGCCATGCTTGGGGGTTCGCCAGGTCTGTGGGTCTCCTCGTCACTTTGCCCTTGTCAGCGACACGGGCCAAATTTACATCTTGGTAGATCCGTGAGCTAGCCCCTGCCCCTACAGCTAGAACATCAACTAGCTGCCACACAGCCATCAGTGAGCAGGTAGCGGACCACCTAGCAAGCTGCATAGCTAATTAGACAGGTGGCAAGACGGAGGGCCCAACCCTCCTTTCAGTAAGTACAACCACCAACGGTAGGCCTACTAACATAGGTGCTTCTGAGCTAGCAGTGCACTCCCCAGAGTAGCGATTAATTAATAGGTAGCCGGCTAGCTACATTTTGGCGGGAAACGACTGGTCTCCTACCAGCGTGTTTGGCGAGCTTCACCCTTTAAACTATTCTGAAGAGAGAGTTAGTTCTGCTGTGCGGATAGCATTCTGCTCCCGTTCGAGCTGATTGGCCTTTTTCTGTTGCTGCCAGTCGTTTTCGCTTTAGGGTTTTTCCTTGGCAGGAGGCATATGGGGGTCGCTGGCACTTGTTGCCAGCCTCGCTGCATCGCCCGTTTACTCAAGTGTCTATCACGTCGGGACCACTTCCGTCTGACCCTCTGGCCTTTCTGAATGGATCCACAGCAACAACAGCCACGTCATGCCGTCCCACGAATTCTCAGAATGTAGATGGCGCGATGCTGACGAAAGAAGAGGGGACGCATCAGCACGAGCTGCAGCAGCAAGGTTGCAGTTGTTGCTGCAGCCTGCAGGACCCCGCAGGGTACTTTTCTTTGGGTGCCCTCGACGGAATGGGCGGCCTTTGGCTGGGATCAAGCACAGCGTGTTGTTGCACACGCGTCTTCACGGCCATGCAGCAGCATCGTCAGCACCAGCAGGTTAATGGCAGCAACACACTGGACATTGGGAAAGAGGATTTCCATTGGAATACTGACGTGATTGGGGGAGGTCGGTGCTTCTGCCACATCGATATTGGGACCCTCGCTTCTGCCTATGGGACCGGCGCTGTGGATCGCAGCCGCTGCTGCAGTAGCAGCAGCAGCAACAAAGCCAGCAAGACAGGCCAGCAACTGCAGCAGCTGCACTGCCCGTTGCAACGCGAGCTAGGCCGTCTGCCGCTGCAGCAGCAGAGCAAAGGTAGGTGTGTGCTGGTAGCAATGCGAGCACTTATGAGGTAGCTTGAGGCCTCGTCCCTTTTTGGTGTATGCAGCATCTGCTGCTAGTCTTTGTTCACTTGCTTTTGTTGTAACTGCTCTTGCTATTGTGTATGCGACTGCAGCCACTGAAAACAACGTCCCATGCGTATTTGTTTCTTTACCAGAAGAGGAGGCTTTAGTGAGGACCGTACGGTGCAACAGTGCCTCTTCTGGAGCAGTCACAGCTCCATTGAGCCCAGCGGCGCCGTCGCTAGCGGCGGATTGTGCTGCTGCAGCTACAGGAGCAGCCAGTGCATCAGCCTCCCCTGCAGTGCAAGTATCCTCATTGCCCGCAGCAGCTGCCCAAGCAGCTGTGACAGCAGCAGAAGGGAGTTCAATAAGGCATGCAGCTGTCTTTAGGTCTCGTCTTTTTCCCTCGAAGTTCGGTCTTGTGGTGAAGGGTCGCCGACAGTCACGGCTTTTTTGTCCCCTTCCTGACAAACCAGTAAAGGTCTGAAGGCTGCAGTTGCAACTATTGCTTATGTTGTTTTCGAAGCGCCATCTCACTCTGCCCTGATTAATTCCGTTGCGCTGTGACCTGACTTCTAGCTGATGAGCATGCCGTACCGCTAGTAGCTGCCTCTACGGGTGCTGCTACTGCTGGCACAGCCATTACTGGAAAAGCTACTGCTGCTGTAACCGAGAACACAAAGGTCGGGTCTTCTTGTTGCTGCGGTGATGCAGGTACTATGTGGCCCCGGAGCCGATTCAGGTTTGTTGCTCCTGGCGGGAGGACAACTACTTCAGTGGGGTCTCCGTCGTTCAGCATCACCTTGTCCCAGTCAGCGGGCGTCTAGCCTCGCCCTTACTCAGGTCAGTTGCTGCTCTTCGTGCTGCTGCATGACTTCTTACTGCTGCGTGTTTCTCTGCTGCGTGCATTGCTAGCACGGTTTCCGTAATGGAGCAAGAACTCATACTGCTGTTTCATGAGGCCTTTGGTCTCTACTCAACGCTGCAGCAGCTCCATCAGACCTTTGGTCTGCACTCAGCACTGTAGCATGGACCATAAGCGTTGTACGGGAATCTAGGTGCTGCAGCATCCATGAAAGTCTTGGTGCTGCAACTGTTGCAGCACCTCCTGGTGTTGTGTTTGCTTCGTCTCACTTGTTGCAGCTTCGATTTTTGAAGCTTCTGCTTCCACGTCTATCGCTAATGCTTTCAGAGCAGCTGCTGCCATCACTTCTGCTGCTGCGAGCAAAATCGCTGCTTCTGTCTGTGCTGCAGGTGCGCGGTTGCCTGGAGGGTCGCTGCGTAGTGGATATAGCGCTAGGGTTTCGATGTGCAGCTCAGGACGGCAGCAGCGCTGTGGATGCCTTCGCTGTTTGTAGCAGCGGCGTGGTGTATGAGTTCTCGCTTGGTTGGGTTGCCAACGAAGTTGTGAGGGGCCCGTACTTGCGGTTAAGGCCTCCTGTTCCGGAGCCCATAGAGTTTACCCCGTTTTGTTTTGATCTCGTAGGCTGTAGACACTTTGCAGCTAAAGGTGTTGCTGCTGTTGTTGCATATGTTACTGCTCCAAATGCCGTTGAGGACGCATGGCTGCTACAGCTCTAGCTTCTGCTGGTAAACTGCTTGTGTTGCTCGCTCTTTTTGCCTGCAAGGCCTCCACTTCTTCTGCTGTTACTGCTGCTGCTGCTGCGAATGTACTTTTCACGTGCTGTATCGCCTTTATATTGACGGTGCTGCTTACGCGCATGACCTTCATTGCGGGCCTTTGTTTTTGTGCTTCTGTTGTTGAGTGTGTCAGTGCTGCTGCGGCTTGTGCTGTTGGTTTCATTGCAGCTTTACGGACACCCCAATGCAATGAATGTGAGGCTTCCGTATTCTGTAAATAACTTCAAGCGCCTAGTGCAAGCTGTGCCTGAGGACGAACTGGAGACGCTGGTCTCAATCTGTGGTGCAGACCACTGCAGCAGTGGCAAAGGCAGCAGGAATAGCAACAAAAGCAGCAGCAGTAGCGCATTTCGACGCTTTGTTCAGTCCTATTGGTTGCGGGACGCGGAAGAAGAGTTACTGCAGCCTAGTACCGCAGCACCGTCACAGCGTGCTGCGTCTTCAGAGAGAGCGCAGGCGACATTAACAATGAAAGGACCAGCAGAGAATTCTCTTGCGGCAGCGAGCGGGTCGAGTGTAGCTGCTGCGCTGCAGCCAATTAAAAAGCCGGCAGCTTACGTAGGGGACTTCCCTGCAGCTTCCCTGCGAGAACAACAGCAGCAACAGCCATCAATTCATGGCTCCAGAGAGGCCCAATCGCATGGCGATGCGGTGCCCACTGCTGCAGCCAATAGTGCTTGCAGCATCAGCATTAACAACAGCAGCAACAACAGCAGCAGCGCGTCGTCGCGCACAGCCACCGCGAGCCAGCTCAGGCTTGGGGATACTTCTGGTGGCATTGCTGCTTCTAGCATGCCTGACGCACTGTTTGCGGCCTTTATGAGGTTGCGTGAAGAGGAAATTAATATTTTGTACAATACAGCAGGTGAAACAGCATCAGGGGGTCGCATATCGGGAGCAACCGCAGCAACAGAGGGACAAACGTCAGCAGCAGGAACAGGGAATGCCACATCATGTGGATCTGAAGCAACTACAGCAATGCTGACAGCAGCAACATCAGATCCACTGCAGCAAGTGTGGTGCTGCGGGGGCTATCTGATTTTTTCAAGGGCAAGTGGGAGGCTGCTGGCAGCCTCTCGGGGAACTGTCTTTTCGGGTGTATTGCGTCGCCGTTTGAAGGATTTTAGCACCACCGGCAGCATCAGCAGTACTAACAACAGCAGTGCAGAGCTTGGAACGTTTGGTGAGGCGCCCCACAGCTTGTTCGATATTTCAAGCCATCACATAAAGCAGGTAAACGGCTTTATAAACTAATGTCAAAACATACTTGTTTTGCTGCTGTCCCTCGAGTTGCTGAAGCTGGTGCCCCAGCTGTTCCTGCCATGGCTGCTGCGGCATCAGCGCTACTGTTGCGTTTTCAGCTGCGTAGGCCGTTAACAATGCAATTTGCGTTTCACCTGGTATTGTTGCTATTTATGGTGATGCTCACTCTACTGTGGTTTTTGGAGGTGCGCTTGCATCTGGTGCATCTTTGGACACTGCTGTGCCTCCCGTTTATTTGTGTCTTGGCTGCCGCCCTGCTGCAGGCCATGGAGCTGCACAGGCATCTGGGGCTGGGGATTTGCCTGAGTGAGGGCCTTGCTGGGAGGGCTGTAGGGCTGCTTGGGCCTCCCCACGGCTTCTCGCCTCCCTGCGAGCCGCCGCCACAAGATGAGCTACAGCCGTTGCTTTTGCGGCTTGCTTCTGCAACGAAGCCACCGTACTCCGTCTACTGCGGACCAGCAAGCCTGGTCCTCTCTGTCAGCGCGGTTTGTCGTACCTCCACCTCCGGCTGCAGCCCAAGCAGCAGCGGCAGCCCGAGCCCGTCTAGCAGCAACAGCGACTTTCAGCAGCTGCTGAAACTCGGAACTAGGACAACGGCGAACCCACGCAGTGTCCCTAGGTCGCCTCCTGTGGGATATTTAACAGCGGCGTCAATGCGTCATCTTACAGAGGCCATCTGGAGCTATTGCAGGCACGTGGCGAGGGATGCAGCGCCAGTGCAGCAGGTGCTGCTGCAGCTTTCCAGAGAAATGGGGGACCTCGCGCAGCAGCATGATGAACAGCTGTTCCGCCTTCTGCAGCAGCAACGGGAGCAGCAGGAAAGCACCTCCCTCACGGCGGCTGATGCTCGTCACACCATACAGCCGGGGCAGGTCCGTCTGCAGCAGAAACTGCAGGCGCAGCTTGCGTCGTTGCTGCTGTTGCTGCTATCTCGCGTCTTCTTAGCTCAGAGGGCGGCACCCTCAAGCGACCCCGACTTGCTGGATCTGCTACAGCAGCTCCAACAGCAAGACGACGGGGTGCCCCAGCAAGCGAAGAGGCGCCGTTGCGCAGCGCATGCAAAAAGAGCGACACAAGCAAAAGGCGACAGACGGCCCCCTCCCGCTGAGACGCATAAACTAAAGGAAGAGGGAAACTGAGCAATCTACCAGCCGTAGCGATTGCAAGTACTCGAGGAATAAGCGACAGCGAGAAAGCAGTATAGGCACTCCAACTTGATAGCGATGGTCTCCGTATTTGTGGGTTGCCGGTAACAGACTGTAGATTGCACGTACGCAGTTGACCAGCAACCTCACCGGGGCAGCGGCCGACTAAACTTTGGATAGGGCTTGCTGAAAGTAGCTCAAGTTGGCCAGTAGGCAAATCCCCAGTAGCTTGAGCGTGTGTCCGCACGGCAAGAACCCCTGGCACTTATCGGGTCTATCTTGGCGCGGCTAGCATAAAAAAGACGGTTCCTTGGCAAAAGTGGACTTGGTCACCCGAATCGGACGCATGCACTCGCAACTTTGGGCACTAGATCCACGTACGCCAGTCTTTATATATCTATGAAACTACGGTCGCACGTCCCTGAGACACTAAATCCTTTCCCTCCGCCTAGATATGAATTCAGCAAGCCGTGCGTCGCTACGTTCTAGTTAGCTTGCCAAATAGCTATTTAGATAGCTGCCGGGGTGTACACAGGCATCCACCCCGCGACTACGCACTGGCTCCATTAATCTGGCACCACATAACTAAAGCAGTTGTTGCAGCTGCCGCAAGAGAGCTTCGGGACAAGCTGAAGTATCTTTCTGCTCCTGAAGCCGCTACAGGATGAGTCCCAACCGCTAAAATGACAGGAGTTGTACATGACCCCCTTGAGCTGTGTTGCTGCACCCTACGATGCACATGCTTGATTGCTTGCATCCACTTGATTTCGCAGCATGCGGCGGCAATCCAGCACCAACAACGGGGCCACGCAAAATGGCACTGCTTTCCGCGCTGAACAGCTTTGTTAGGGTGGCTGCACGTTTACCTTTCACGGTTGTTTGGGCGAGCCCATTCCACCTGAAAAGCGGCATGCAGTGGGGAGAGCAGAAGCGCCATGAGACCACACGGCATGAAGAAGCTGGTCGACAGAACGAAAAAAACATAATTAAGGAGAGCCAACACAAGCAGGCAATAAAGCAGAAGCACGGGCAAGTGCACTCACACAAAAATGCAGTTTGGTAAAGACGAACGGCGAAAGAAAGAGGCCGATGAATAAGCGTGGACGCAAACTATAACGCAGAGAGGGTTGAATATGAAAGAATATACACAGGTAGTGACAAACATACAACATACAACATACTGGTGACAAAAACAGAAGCTGAAACACAAAAACTATACATTCACACGAGAGAATGAAGAGGGAAACCGGGGTAGAACCACACGAGCATGGGGGGAACGGCAAATAGAAGGAAACAGACGGGGCTGTCCCAACATACATTGAGCAGCAGATTGTCATAGCCATGTCTGTTGAGTTTGCGGATGGCTTGGGCAGCCAGTTCTCTGTTGGCGTAAGTGATAAACGCGAAACCCTTGCTAGCTTTCTTGTCCCTGTACACAGCAAAAATATTCAAACTCAGCCACAGAAATGCTTCTAAAAGATCTGTGCAAAGAAAGCTATGAACAGGAATATGTATGCGAGCCGAAGTACCAATCAAGCAATTGAAATATGCGCATGCATTGACGTCATTATAAGTGTGGCTTTCGTCATTGTCTCTTCCCAACGCAACCTCGCTTTTTGTTTGTTTCGGAAGTGTCTGCTTGTCTCAGAACCTGTATATCTGCCCGACCGCGTAACAACTTCACTGCGCGTGCAAATATGCGTGTGAGTATGCATATGCATTTTGCCGTCTCTTTGCGCGTAACGGTTCCTTCTCCCTCTACCTCGTAGCCTATTCGTTAGGTATGCAAGATTTCTATACTCTGTGTTTGTTTTCTGACTTGTGTTTAGCAAGAAAGACCCTCTCAAGTTTGCCGATGTTCCCGAAAAGTTCGGCCAAGTCTTCTTCCTTTGCGTCTTCACTTAAGTTCGTCACTCTAATCGTCGCTTCTTCTCTACGACGCGCCTCCAAGTCTTTCAAAGCATCGCCGCCGCCACGCAAACGAGACAAGCCTCTAAGAAGTGAAAAAACATTCCTCAAGTGTATACGTCGTACAAGACGGAATGAGCACGCACAGCCGTGTAAATATATATATATATATATATATATATATACATGCACATACACATACGTGAAAGTGTACACACGTGAAGATGCATCTGCGTTATGGGCAGGGTGGATCGACAGTTCGTTTGTACGCCGACGTTTGTTTGCTTGCATGTTTATGTATGGCCTTTCAAGCCCAGATGTGGTCATACATTCACGGCCATATGGATGTATATATGCACTCACTTGTGTTGTTGCATCTCAAACCACAGTTGAACATCAAGGCGCACGGAAAGGTGTGCATACGCAGTAAGCTAGGGATGCTGGCATGTTGAAAGAAACGAAAAGTCAAGGAGAGAAGAAACGATGACCGAGCACTCAGACACTGGGTCCAGGCAAGCACATAAAAGCAGAAGAAGAAGCGGCACCGAAGGGTCAGAAAGGAGCGGCAGTAAACTGCTGGGAGGTACAGCAGCAAGTTAAACAAGAAAGAAAATGCACGATGATGAACAAAAAGTAAGGCCACGAAATGGAGTGAAATCTGATTCCAAACAAAGACAGGGCAAATGCACGCAGCCGGGATAGGTCGAGAACTGACTTAGCCCCAGGTACTCCAAGCCGTGAGCCCAACGGATCGCCTTCACCAGCATCAACCTGCACATAAAAACGCAAAGAACGCAGGCCAAGCATATGTATGCTGCCTTTGTTACGCAGTTGTTGCGATTACTCCAGTTGAGGTTACTGTCTTTACTGGCCCTCCTGAATTCCTACGGGTTCGTCGTCGTTTTGCAGCGACAGGAATTTTTGTCTCAGATCTCGGGAAGTCTTGGCCGGATTCAAATCCTGAAGACACCACATTTCAAATGCAAGCAGTAAGAGGTATAAATTCAAGACATACTAAGACACGCACACGCATTCTGCCCTGCTTTTGACGGGGTGACGGTAGGATCAAAGCAACTAAAAAGCAGTAGAGCAGAACAGGACGCGCTCAATCCGCATCATGCAGCTGCATAAAAACGAGGAACACCAAAATAAGTAAAAACAACAACAGTACCGCCACCATCTCTACCAGAAGCAGCATACTGCGAATTGTCCATAGGCAACAGGATACGCAGCAGGGGAGGCAACAGCAGCAGCAGTGGCCAGCAGCAGCAGCAGCAATAGCTAACAGCTGTAGAACTCAGCAGCAAGCAAAACCATAAAACAATAGGGCGTTCGGCGATATGCCCATTCTTCAGAATTCTGGTATGTTTGCCCTGCATACTGCAAACTGAATATCTTCGTCATCTTCGTCTTCTTTAAATTTGGCTCTCAGCAACGTTTCCTTTGATATTTCCAAAGGAATCTCCTCCACAGACCTGTGTAAAGAACAACATACAGGCTATCCCAACTCTTATAGTTGATCATGTCGCTTCTACTGCCCCTATTGTTGTGTTGATTTGAAGTGCTAGTGCTGACGTGCTGTTGCCGTTCTTGCAACTACAGCTGCCGCAGCTGAAATTCAGTCTTACCTGACAGTGAACGCCTTTCCTGTGCTACCCTCTGCTGCCTCAATTCCAAAGAGAGGCAAATTCCTCCGCTCATGCACAGCCTTGTTTATGCGGTGCACCACACGTGTCACTTTAATACGCTTCACTATCTGCAACAGCGGCAATAGCGAAAGCGCTTGAATATGTCTTTCACGTACACCTGCCTTCATATTGCCTCAGTTTCTTGTCATTATGCAAACAGCTTGTGCTTACTTCAGTCGCCGTCTGTTTTCGTATCTGGGAACTACATGCTGTGTCGCACCAGTTTAATTTTACGGCTATTTTACCTTGAGTGTTTCGCCCTTTGCATTTTGGAGATAGTTTGTGACTGTTTTGATACCGTCACTGTCTGGCCGAGTTTCAAAGCCTCCTGGCGTTGGCGCCAAATCGCCCAAGTCACCATCATCCTCCAACTCGAAGTCCGCCCACTTACGATCTGTAGGTCCAAAAAAACGCCTTTGCATGTTTGCCCGTTTGGGAATTCTTGTGCGTTGAACATGTACATACACTCACCCCCAACGAGAAAGTACTTTCGAAAGAACCGGGAAGAAACACGGGAAATCACTCCGGAAAGAAAAGAGCAGAAAAAAGCATACAAAATGAAGGGGAATGAGACAGTGATACACAGAGCAGGGAAAAACGAGGCCACGGCGCAGCGTAAAGACGGAGATATACAAGCTTGGCAACAGATACTACATAAATTGCATTTTCGACACGGCTGACTCAATAGATAGGCACATAACAATCTAAACAGAAGCAGCGACACCCTGGCATCCATTTGGCTAACATTACGGAGCCGCAAGCATCGGAAGCACCGGGTGCTGCTGCCCCAACGGCAAACCGGTGTCGTTGTAGTTGTGTTGTGTGCCTATGTTTACCTGTCGTCATCTTGGGCCGAAAGTAACTCTTACAAAGAGAAAAGAACGCTTGAATCTGGAGAAGGAACGACAGACCAAAGGGCCTTGGCACCTGTGGGGGCTCCTCGGGGGCCCACCGACCGTGGCACGACTTGTCTCCTCGTAAAGTCGTAAAACGAATGCAATATATGATAACAAGATTTAAAAAAACATTTGTGCTTCCCTGAATGCGGATAAACTAAAGGCGCAGCCATGCATGCACTTACAGTATTGGCTGCTTTGGGACTGTAGCTCAAAAGCACACTTCCGCAAAAAAGAGGCGCGCTTTGAAATCTAGCGACATAGTGAAAGAAAAGCAGGATAATTCAGCAACAAGAACACATGCACAGCTGTTGCCATGGGAAATGAACTATCAGATGAGGGTTAGCAAGCAGTACTGAAGAAAAACGCGCGTTCCTCAGCAGCTTGGTAGTCAGTGGGAATTGTAGGACGGACGCAGCAGCACTTAGCTACAAATGCAGCTGGAACGGTGGAAAGTGCCACGTCTTTTAGCCATCTGACTAGTGTTCTGGGCATGTATTGGGGCATTATTGTCCCGCTACGAGCAGTACTGAATCAGAGCACTCTACTTCCCACCGTAGCGCTGTGTACCCTCGATTCCGACGGTGGACTTCCTTGCTAAGCTTGGCGCCATCTTTTTGAATGAGAGTGCTACCACAATTCTAGCGAGAGTGGGGCAGAGAAGTTGGGGCTGAGAATTACTTAACAGGGGACTAGTGTACTACCTACATCAATCCCAGCCTGCGATCTCCACAGGCCTCCCTGTGGCTATACGTGGCTGCCTAATGGCAGACACCAAGTTGTCTTGCTTGGTACCGAAGCAACGGAACTTGAAATGCTCCGAGCTAGCCAGGGCTGGCTTGCCGTTCTTGTCTTTAGTACATTTAAACGAATGATGCGGAGTCCATGGTGCATGCTAAAATGCACTGCAAGTCTGTTTAATTTTGGCGCATATTGGGCATACATTTTCCTGAAGCCTGTACACAGATGTAGGTGTACTTGCAAGATTTTCCCGATGAATGTTCGATGCTTTGGTTTTCCGTACAACCGCTTGCTTTAGTAGGGCCGTAGAGCCAAATTGCTGTCACTTATATTTCCTGCCCCTCTGAATATCGTATAATAGAATGACAACCGCGCAGCGGAACGGTGCTAGAACTCAAGACCCAAAACGAGCACCGCTGCAGCCGTTGCTGCAGTTTGAAACAGTAGCAGGCCCAAAAACAACGAAAGCATCAAAAGCAGCAGATCTCTCAGATCTTCCTTTTCCACTGTTGATTGGGCGACCGTATTTGCAGTGCTCCGCTGTTCCTCTCGCTGTCGTTAATCTACATCTGTCCTCTGTGGCGCTATGCTCTGTGTGGCTGCTCCATGCTGCCCATTGCGCTTGATTTCCCTTTTCGTTGCCAATTCAGACAAGTGCTGGGAGGAAATAAATTCCAATGCGCGATAGAGAAGGCGTCCAACAGGTTTGCATTGCTAAGACGGACTGGGGGGAGGAGGGTTTCAGTTAAGTGGATCAAAGCACTGCAGCTACCTTCCAGGTGGAAGCTGGCAAGCACCCGCTATTCTTGGTAGCTCGAGGGGTCATTGCATCCATAAAAGATGAGCTTTTACAGAGTTATGGTCTAGTCAGGCACGTGAGTTTTCTGTGATAAGTTCTCAGAATGTCCTTGAATCGTCAATTCCACCTCGAACGCCGAAAACGCAGAAGCAAGCGATTACCTATCTCGGTTATGCTTTCACTGCTTGAGAAAATAGAACCCGCAGCAAACTCAGCATCGGCCATACACGTGCGGCCAGAGGTTTTAAAAAATGGGATCCAAGTACTGTAGTTCCCGTGTGCGACGAACTAATGCCGTTTTCACATGGGAGAAGATTTCACCAATGTATCTCGCGCTCTCATCGACTTACTTCCGGAAGGTGCTTCTCGCTTTTTTCCCTCAGCAGATACACGCACGTCGTACAAAGCTTTGAGCAACTACTAACACACTATGCGGCGCCACGAGTCCAAAATATCACGAAACCTTTTTTTATGCAAGGTCGCGTGCGCTTCTGGGCTAGCTCCAGTGCTTCGGCAACAATCAAGGCCGATTGTCTTTTTAAGGTGCCACGCAGCAAAAATAGTCGATCTTCAACCACAAACTGCTAGATTTAGTCACATTTCTGGACACGTGACGCCATTGGCTATCCTCGTGGTGGTCACTTAAGCCATAACTATACAATTATTACTTACTGGCCATCAGGCTCTGGCCTGCCTGCAGTATCTCGGCACTTCCAGGCATCGAAGTGGTTGCACGGCTCCCAGGCATTGCTTCATAGAGGAGCTCCAAGGCTTCATGATTACTCACAAAGGACTGAACAAAACCAGGTGTCCGATGCGCTACGGAAACAACCCTGTTCATCCCAACTGTAAGTCCCCAACGAAAGGCGATTGGCGTCACCGAAATCTGTCATCAAAGAGCCTCAGCAGCATCGCTGCATCAGACTTTCCCCTAAAAATTACAGAATGGCTGGGTGAAACCGTTCGCTTACGCCGCCACCGCCTCACGGTTTTCCGCTACCGCGGTGTTTCTATACTGAGGACCTACCCGATCCGTATCTGAGGACCTACGCGACCCATGTCTGAGGACCTACCCGATGCTGTCGCACCTCCGACATCTCCTCCACTCGAAACTTTCTTCTTCTCGGCCCTTTCGACACTCGCTCTACAGCGAACTTCAGCGCCACAACCAACCAACCACCCGAGTTAAGTCAGATCTTTCCGTGAAACCCTTGATTGCAGCCACTGCTGAGTGATCAGTTATCCTCGAACCACAGATGGTACAGATACAAGCAATCACGACCACTCAACTAATGTTCTGCAGTCTCTGGTCCTCCTTGCATTTCGAATGCTCGTACTTTCGCATTTAAATTCAGGAATTCAGGGCATGTGGCGCATCGTGGGCCGCAGTTTCCCAACTCCCTTGCGCACGTTCCATATACCGCACGTGCCATATACCCACCCAGATTACGCATGCCACAAACGGCAGAAGAAGAATGCTCATGTTTTTGGGAAACACGTCTACTGGTCAGGTATGCTGGTCTACAGTGCGGCATACTTTGAACCGCGCATACATTTCAGGGCATCTGATGAGATCAACTAGAAGCCAGAGAGCCTTTATCAAGTTTATTACTTCCTCAAGCTATCGAAGACACCTCTGTTCAGATTGCGTTACTAATCTCTCTAACTTTTGCTGGTCCACGATTCTGTGGTAGTGCTCGTCATGCCCCTCAGCAAGATGCTCATATCATTATCACAAAGGAAGCATGTGCAGCAGCATTGCCGACCTCCTTTTTGAGCACCTTATACGTGCTATCACGTTTTTTTCGCCATTTTGCCATCATGCTTTTGTTCGCCGTGTAGGAGCACGGCACGAGGTTGGGAAGACTACAAAGCCTACACACCTAAGCTAAATGCAGAAAAGACTGAATTTTTGTCCTTCTATCCTTGAGAACACAGAAACTCAACTAATGAGGCACGTTCACTGCAGCTGCACTCCAACTGAACACGACACAAAGTAGCTACACCAAAACAGTGTGACAGCAGCAGCACGTGTCGTAGCAACAGTGGCAAGTGTTTCTCGTGCTACGTTTTAAAATGGGGCTCCAGATGTGCTCAGACGCTCATTCGGTAGCAGTTAAATGTGGTAGCAGGGTACCAGCGGTGGCAGCAGACGCCCAATAGCCTGCAGCACTAGCACCAGGGACCGGCAAAAACACCAGAGGCAACTGCCACAGCATTATCTCCAGCAGCAAACGCACCCTTTGGCGCAGAGTGAGGTGCCAGCATTGCTACCACCACAAACAGATGCAACAACACCAGCTGAAGCTATAGCAGCAGGCGCATCAGTAGCAGCCGCAAGAGCAACCGCTGCATAGCGACAGCAGCAGAGAACACGGAAACAGCGGCAGTGGCCGCAACAGCGGCAGTGCCTAGACCAATACCACTAACTTCCGGGAGTGCAACATCACATCCAATTCAATAGCAACAATCACAGCTAATGCAGCAGGAACAGTCGCAGTAGCAAATAAGTACGGAGCTCACCACCTTCGGTTGTTTTCACATGCCTTCTTCAAGTCAGAGCTCGGCAGGTACTGATAAGGCCTTCAGTTCGCACTGATGTAGTGCAGCGACAGATTGCAGCGATATCCCTTGCCTACAGTAGTCAAGTTGCCCTTAATTTCAGAATTAAGGGTTCTAGTGCATAAGCACAGAGCTTGTACTCTTCGATTTTTCGTTCTCTGGATGTGTGCCAAACTACCTTTTACTTTCGGGTTCTACGAATTTTACCGCTCTTGTTTGTGCTGCGACCTAGGCTTTTCGTAGAAGACAGCCATATGTATAGACAGATAAACAAAGACTTATTTTCGAGTAGAAAAGAAGTGCGACTGTGCAGGCAGGCAAGCATATTACTGCGCGCTGCCCTCGCCTTGCCTCCGGAACGCGCCCATTCGAACCCCTCCTACTGAACCCGCTCACGTACTTAAGGTACTGCTGTTTCAGGGTTTTCTGGCCTCGGCAGCCAGGGCAAGCAAGAACTAACCACAGTTCATCACTGGCTGCGGGGAGGCACAAGTAGCCGCGGGTAGCCAAGGTTAGGTGAGGGATCTGTCGAATCAATATTGTAGCTCCGGCTGTATCTGGGTGCTCTTTGTGCCTGATGAACAGTCACAACCTTTGCTGTAGCCCTACAACCATATGTTGTGGAACTGGGATCCCCTGCTTCCTAGCGGGTTGCTCTAGGCCTTGCCTTCTTGTTTCTGCGCTTTCGCCTATGACTCAATTCCGCATCAGTGCATACTGTGACTTGCTGCCTCTTTGTCAAAACATGCTGCGGCGAACCAACAGTCAGAAGGTTTCTGACCCTCGAGGCTCTAAAGGCGTTTGCCGTCTGTGGCCCATAAGATCTGTGGGGCTCGAAGGCGGCTCGC